TTTATAGTGAATAAACATAACAATTAACAAAACAACGATTGAATGGAAAGCTATAGGATTTTGTCGATTGAAGGAAATAATTTCCCATGCTAAAACAAGTAGAAAACTATTTTTCGGGTCTACAATTTTCTGCTTAGAAACTCAAGAACGCAATTATGTGCTTAGAAACTCTTCTTTCAAAAGAAAATGTAAAAAAGTGGTATCTTTAACGTAACCAAATACAATAGCTCATATCAAATTTCATCTAACCCAAGATAATTCTCTGACTTTAATGAATTTTACCAGAAGCTAGTGCTGAACCTCAGTTTTGCAATGAACTCATCAATGTTTTTATCAGAACTTCCACCTTCACACACTGCCTTACTGGCCAAGTCTCTCCATTTGATTGAATTCCTCTGTATTTCTTTCCCTTTCTCTCCCTCCACTACTTCACTTATACAATGTTCTACTGCTTCTTGTCTTACAACCCCTTTCTCATCACATGGAGCTTTTAAGTCCTATTTTCCACACATTCATATTATTAGTGTTAAGAATTTGTATATGACTAAATATCTATTGTTATTTCTTGGTAGCACTCTTGTCCCAAATTCTGTCACAGGCTCACAGCCCTTGCCCATCTCTTTGCTCATACAATACAAGAAAGCCTTGCTTTCAAGGATCTATTTTTCTGTTGGTTTGTTGTTGTGTTGTCTTTGCTTTGGATACTTTTTTTTTTTTTTTTTTTTTTTTTTTTTTTTTTTTTTTTGTGTTGTGTGTGTGGTTATAAAAATTTTGTTTCTTATAAACCAACATGTCTCAATTGTATATAAACTAGGCCTGTAAGTTGTAGCCCAAGGGGGATTGGGATGAGATGGAGGCGGCGTAGAATCTAATTTTTGTGACAGGCAACCCAGATCAGATCAAGAAAAACAGAGACTATGTAGCAGCCCATGCAGCCCAGGAGACTTGGGGTGTGCAAGATTCAATCCAATTTGCCCAAATCGATTGGTCTAATTCAATTTTAATTGGTTTTGATAATTTGGCAAATTGGATTGGATCTCTAATTTCCAAAACAGACATAATTGGATCGGATGGTGAATTTGTTTGTGAGAATCCAATCCAATCTAGTTAGTTTCGAGCTTATTTTGTTTGTAATTGAGAAAATTATGAACATTTTAAATCATTTGATGGAGTTATGTTTAATATATTATAGAATCAAAACAATTTTCTCTAGCATATCATTTATATTTTAGATTTACGTCTATTAAAATATTTTGATTAGATTAAACATAATGATAAATGTTTCATATTTCATTATTATATTTTTTTAATTATGAAAACTGATCATCCAATCCAATATCAATTGAATCGGATATTGAATTTAAACCTCTAGTCCGATCTGATTGGATTGAAAAAAAATCATGATTCAATATATATTTGATCGGATGCGAATTGGCTAAATTACATTGGTTTCGAAACGATACACACCCCTACCAAAGACTATTTAATTTGAAATGATTCTATATATATTTTTAAATACTATGTATAAGAAGACCTCAAGACCAAAGGGTGATTATACAATAATTTCCCATCTTTCTTTTCCACTTTATATTACACTGTAAGGGCAGCTATGAGATTTTAGGTGACACAAGTCTTGAACAAAATTATATAAAAATGATTGGACCATATATATTGATAGCAAATTTAAAACTACTCATTGTAAGGACGGCTATGAGATTTTAGATGTCACAAGTCTTGAACAAAATTATATAAAAAGAATTGGGCCATATATATTGATAGCAAATTCAAAACTCCTCATCAATTGTTAAAGGATTATCGAACAAATAATTCAACAAGGAACGTAAAATTAAAAAAAAACAAACCATGGTTTATCAAATTATTAATTATAATTAACCCCAAAAAAATCTGTGGCCGTCAGATTTAGTATTAATCAAGAGCTCATATTATATGAAATGATTCTACATTTTTATGCATTATGTATAAGAAGACCTCAAGACCAAAGGGTGATTATACAATAATTTCCCATCTTTCTTTTCCACTTTATATTACAATGTAAGGGTGGCTATGAGATTTTAGGTGTCACAAGTCTTGAACAAAATTATATAAAAAGAATTGGACCATATATATTGATAGCAAATTTGAAACTAGACATCAATAGCTAAAGGATTATCAAACAAATAATTCAACAAGGAACATAAAATAATAAATAAATAAAACCCGTGGTTTATCAAATTATTAATTATAATGAACCCCAAAAAAAAAATATGTGGCTGTCGGATTTAGTATCAATCAAGAGCTCCTATTATATGTATTTAATGTATTAATATATTATGTAGTATCAACTTAAAAGAAGCCGTCTCACCTTCATATTAGACGGCTCTTAAAATTAGGGTCATGTGCAAGGGCCCACCTTGCACGCCCCTAAAGCCGCCTCCCATAGTTTTCCTTTTGCTTTATTTGAATAAGTTTGTAAAAATCATTCAGTTTTGGACCTATGCAACAAAGAGACGTAAGGAATTTTTCTCGGTTCACAACTTCACATATCAGACCATGTATAAAGATGACTTGGGTAGCATGGTGGACAGTTTGTGCATTTCATTTTCCCCTATACAATTTGCCGCTACCATTTTTCCGAAACGCACAAATTCCACTCACATTGCCTTCTAATTTCAGAGTAGACAGAGAAATGGAGACAGGACAGATAGCCTACAAAGCTCACTGCTTGGTCTTACCCTTTCCGGGCCAAGGCCATATTAATCCTATGCTCCAATTTGCCAAGCTTTTAGCTCACAAAGGAGTTAAAGTCACACTGGTCACTACCCGCTATATCCACAAGACTATGTACGGGTCAGCATCGAGCTGCACAGCGCTGGATCTGGAGACCATCTCCGATGGCTATGACGAAGCCGGGAGAGGAGAAACAAGCATAGATGCCTATTTGGAGAGCTTTTGGAAAGTAGGATCGAAAACTTTGGCTGAGCTCCTTGAGAAGCTTTCAAGCTCAGGGTCCCCAGTTGATTGTGTTATTTATGATGCTTTCATGACTTGGCCTCTAGATATTGCCAGGAAGTTTGGAATATCTGGGGCTGTTTTCTTCACACAATCTTGTGCTGTTGAAAACATCTACTACCATATCCACGAAGGACTTCTGAAACTTCCTCTTGCTGATGATCAGTCTCGGATTTCGTTTCCTGGGTTGCCACCACTTGAACCTCTGGACTTGCCATCGTTTTTATACGATTTTGGGTCTTACCCGGCTTTTTACGAAGTGCTTGTGGGTCAGTTCTCCAATGTTGACAAAGCTGATTGGATCCTCTCCAACACATTTTATGAGTTGGAAGAAAAAGTGAGTACATAAGGAAGCTTTTGTTTTCCTTCTTTTTTCTCGACTTTGATTAATTTTATAAGCTTCAATGAAACTAATTGGTATTAATTCTTTGCTTAGGTGGTGGATTGGCTGGCTAAGTTTTGGCCACTGAGGACTGTTGGACCAACTATACCATCCAAGTACTTAGATGAGCGACTTGAAGATGACAAAGAATATGGTGTCAACCTCTTTAAATCAGACAATGATGCCTGCATCAAATGGCTAAACGAAAGGCCAAAAGGGTCTGTTGCTTATGTATCGTTTGGCAGTGCCGCGAAACTTGGCGTTGAGCAAATGGAGGAGCTGGCTTGGGGTTTGAGGAGGGGCAAAAGTAACTTCTTTTGGGTGGTCAGAGCATCAGAAGCAGCTAAGGTGCCAAAAGGGTTCGTCGAGGAGACATCGGAGAAGGGTTTGGTGGTCTCATGGTGCTCCCAAATAGAAGTTTTGGCTCATGAGGCTGTTGGATGCTTTGTTACACATTGTGGTTGGAACTCAACTTTGGAAGGTTTGAGTTTAGGGGTTCCAATGTTGGCAATGCCACAATGGACTGACCAAAGAACCAATGCCAAGTTCATTATGGATGTGTGGAAAATAGGGCTCACAGCTCCATCTGATGAGAAAGGGCTTGTGAGACAAGAAGTAGTGGAGCATTGCATAAGTGAAATAATGGAGGGAGAGAGAGGGAAAGAAATGAAAATCAACGCCCTCAAATGGAAGGAGTTGGCTAAAAAGGCAGTGGATGAAGGTGGAAGTTCAGACAAAAACACTGATGAGTTCATTTCAAAGTTGGTTCAGTGATGGCTATGTGTTAGAAAAGCCACATAAGTAAAATAAAAACAGCTTTTAAGTGACACTGTTCGTATACATCCTGGTATTTATGTTGCAAAAATTCTCTGTCTTTAATTAAAGACTGCACTGTTCGTATACATCGACACATGACTACGTATCAATATAGTCCGGTCTTAATTAAAAATTAGATTGATGACATATAAATAGTCCCGTCCTTGTTAAAAATTGGACATCCAAGGCATAGCGGAATTATTAGTGTTAATTGACATTTATCTTTCTTTTTCTTTTAAGTGACACTTGAGGGTTTAGTTTGTGTCATTCTCTTCTCTAAATAAGAAATAATTAAGGCAGACGTAGGCTTAGTCAAGTTGGTCATAGTGGATGTGCTCCCCACTTTGCACCTGAGTTCGAATCCCCCTCCTCGTAGTTTATATTATATTAAATAGAATATAGCTAGTATCAATAAAAATAAAAATAAAATAAGAAAATAAGAAAATTGTGTTTAGGATTTAGGTTAGATGTACGTGTGAATTGATTGAAAAGAGAGTGACAAATATTCATTTGCAAAAATTACTTTAGAAATGGACATAGCATTTTGTTTTATAGTGAATAAGCATAAATTAACAAAACAACGATTGAATGGAAACCTATAGGATTTTGTCTATTGAAGGAAATAATTTCCAATGCTAAAATAAGTGGAACACAATTATGTGCTTATTAGAAACTCTTCTTTTAAAAGAAAATGTAAAAAAGTGGTAACTTTAATGTAACCAAATACAATACCTCATATCAAATTTCATCTAACCCAAGACAATTCTCTGAATTCAATGAACTTTACCAGAAGCTAGGGCTGAACCTGCAGTTTTGCAATGAACTCATCAATGTTTTTATCAGAACTTCCACCTCTACACACTGCCTTCCTGGCTAAGTCTCTCCATTTGATTGAATTCCTCTGTATTGCTTTCCCTTTCTCTTCCTCCATTACTTCACTTATACAATGTTCTACTGCTTCTTGTCTTACAACCCCTCTCTCATCACATGGAGCTTTAAGTCCTATTTTCCACACATCCATAATGTACTTGGCATTGGTTTTTTGATCCATCCATTGTGGCAATGCCACCATTGGAACCCCCAAACTCAAGGCCTTCAAAGTTGAGTTTCAACCACAATGTGTAATGAAGCAGCCAGCAGCCTCATGAGCCAGAACCTCCATTTTGGGGCACCATGAAACCACCAAAACCTTCTCCGATGTCTCCTCGACGGATGCTTTTGGCACCTTAGCTGCTTCTGATTCTCTAACCACCCTCAAGAAATTAGTTTTGCTCCTCCTTAGACCCCAAGCCAGCTCCTCCATTTGCTCAACTTCAAGTTTTGCTGCACTGCCAAACGATACATAAGCGACAGAGCCTTTTGGCCTGTCATTTAGCCATTTTATGCGGGCACCATTGTCTGGTTTGAATAGGTTGACACCATATTCTTTGTCATCTTCAAGTCTCTTGTCCAAGTAATTGGATGGTATGGTTTGTCCAATTGACCTCACAGGCCAAAACTTAGCCATCCAATCCACTACCTGTGTATTCCAATTAAAACATTAGTTAATTAAATGAAAAGAAAATAATATGATTGGTGTGGAAATATGTCATCTTTCTTTGGCTATATCTACTAGGCTCGCCAAATTAATTGCTTTGGCGAAGAATCTGGCACATAATATGATGAGCCTAACAGTCCTTTGTTTTTAACTGAAACTTCAAACACTTGTTTTTCAGAATCATAAAATGTGTTGCAAAAAATCCAGTCAGCTTTGTCAACAATAGAGGACTGATCCACTGCCATTTTACAGATAGCCCGGTAAGACCTCGAACAGTTTCCAGAGGATGGCAAGTCCGAAGGTTCAAGTGGTGGCAACCCGGGAAGCAAAATGTTAGACTGACCATCATCATCAACAGCAGCAGCAGTACTAAGAGGAAGTTTGAGCAGTCCTTTGTGGACATGGTAGTAAATGTGGTTAACAGCACAAGACTGAGTGAAGAAAACTGCCCCAAATATTCCAAACTTTTTTGCAACATCTGAAGCCCCAGGCATTAATGCATCATAAACAAGACAATCAACTTTGGACCCTGCAGAGCTTGATAGTTTCTCAAGAAGCTGGGACAAGGTTTGTGACCCTACTTGCCAAAATCTCTCCACATAGGCATCTATGCTTTCGGCTTGCGCGCTCCTTCCTTCGTCATATCCATCGGAAATGGTCTCCTGCAGCAGAATATTGCAACTAGATAGTAATCCTGCAGCCTGCATAATTGTGTTGTAGGCAAATTGGGTAGTGACCAGTGTGACTTTGACTCCTTGTGAACTAAGCCTAGAGAACTGGAGCAAAGGATTAATATGGCCTTGACTTTCCTCAATTGTATCATATTGAGTGACTATTGAGTAGTGTTAATAGTCTTTGATACACTTTCACTAAAAGGAAGGGACACTTTCATTATTAAAAAATAAAAAAAAAACTAGTATTGGAGACTTATTTTCATCCTCCTTTGATATTTCTTTAACTTGAATTAGCGGCAAAGGCCGATGATGTTGACCTTGTGAGTCTTTAGATAAGGGGTCAATGACCTATTTGCCGTCAATTCAATTGAGATCGATAAGAAAATAAAATAAAGTTATAAGAGAAGGGAAAGAGAGCGACTCGAGTCGGAGGGAAGGGTTGGTGGCCGACAAGGGGAGGAAGGGTGCCGCCGCCAGCAGTGGCAAGGAATTTTTAGTTTTTTATTTTTATTTTTAGTTCAAAAAGGGTAAAATTGGATTTTAGAGTTCACAACAACGTGGGAGGGTGTGGTGAGCATTTAGCTGGGTGGCAATAGAGTTCCTTTTTCAGCGAAGCCAATCTCAGACTAACCAGTCATTCCAGCTCAACTACCTCTCCCTCTCTCCTTTTCTCGCCCTCTCTCTGTCTCTCTCGTAGTCTTATTCACCACACCATGCCCTTCTCTGCAACTCTCTCACCTCCCACTCTTTCTTACTTCCCTCAAACACAACAATACCAACAACAATTGCATCTTCCTCACACTCTCAATCCCTATCTCAAACCGAAAAGTTTCAGTCTTCAATTTCAATGCGCCCAAGCCTCCAGACGAACCCCTAATTACCCTCAGGTCCTCACTCACTCACTCACTCTCTCTCAAAATTAATCACTCTCTACAATTCTAATCAATTAACGCTTTGGACTCTTCATTTCACAGGGCGGCGCTGATAATCTGGTTGATGATCCGCGCAACTGGAGCCGTTCGATCAACTCCGAGGTCGACCGGCACTATAATTTCGAAGACGATGATGAAGACGATGAGGATGACGATGATGATGAAGAAGAAGATAGGAGTTTGGATTTATTGGTGAGGTTTGTTCAGAATATGTTCAAGAAGGTCTCCAGGCGAGCCAGGAGGGCCGTACGATCAGTTCTCCCCGTCTCAATTCCCACCAAATTGGTAACCATTGATTATAAATTTGGGTTCCATTTTTCAATTTTTCGAAAGAAAGCTGGGATTTTTATAGCTGAATTGTTGAACTGTTTTTTGTTGGCTTGGCTTATACACAGGTGGGGTTTTCTGTTAATGGGGTGCTCATGCTGGCATTTTTATGGGTCTTGAAGGCATTTCTTGAGGTAATTATATATGCAATCCACATACATGTATACAAACTTCCATTTATTTGGTTATCAATGAGCTGTTATGGGTTTCATATCCATGTGAGTTCATGATCAATTGCATGCTCTTGAGTATTGTTACTGGTTCTTTTAAGGGTCTTTTCCCAGCACGTTTTGGTTCTCAATTCATTGAGCAAAAATGTTAGTTTAAACCCCCATTCTGCATACACGGTTGGTAACATTAGCTAGCAGTGTGGCCTCCTGTTTTTCTTTTTATCCCCTACCAAGTTTAATTTATCAAATTTGTGTTCTGTTATTTTATGGACTGAAATTTTAAAACTTGAACCATTTGTTGCTTGTGTGATTATTCTTCCTTAACACCAGTTTTGCAAAGTGGCCTTGTTTCTTGATACCACAGGATTTTAGAGTTACTGGACTCAACACAGGCCATGGTTCTTTTCTATGAATAAATCTAAAAAAGAAATAAAGTCGATTAATAGTAAGGGAGAAATAAAATAGTATAAAAACAAGTAGTATCTCTGCTATTGCACTTCATCGGATAGCAGTTTTGCAATGCAAATGATAATACTTGCAGCACTTAGATTCTTTTATCGTCTTTGTGGAAAGCTCGGTTACAGATGGGAAGAGTTAGCTCTTTGTCAAAGCTGATTCATCTGGAAAGAATAACTCAGCAGGCAAAGTGTCCTAGTAATGGTTAACTCTGCTCGGTCTATGGTTAGTAGCCATGCCTGAAGCTGCAGTTGTATAGGCATCGTTTTTTTTTCCTTTCCAAAGCCTTGATCTTTTAGTGAGTGCTACATTCTCTATGTTTAGAAGGCCTTTGACAGATTTGAAATGTTGACAGTTGTTAAAGTATATGGCTTTTCAAATCAGACTGCTCTTATAGTTGGTGATCTTATTGAGGGCTCACTTGTGGTGTCATACTAGGCATAGAAAACAGTATTCACAGTCTTATCTGCGTGTTTGCTTCAGGCATGAGTCATATCTGTAATTTATTTTGACTTACACAGCACCTGGATGGCTTCTCCTTATAAAAGCTTGTTATGATCTTTCTCTTTGTCTGTTTTAAATCTAGGTTGTTTGCACCCTTGGAAGTCTAGTGTTTGTAAGCATCTTACTCATCCGTGGGATATGGACTGGAGTAACCTACGTACAAGAAAACCGCAACCAGAAACTCCGCAATTTTGAAGATGAAAGTCGTCCGTGGACTGGCACACAGCCGGCAACCTGATACTTCGGCTTAGAGAAGAGAGTTGTTCAACTATAATCTCACGCCAGAATAGGAGGAGTATACAATAAACAATAAAGGAGGACTACTTGATATAAAGGATGATGAGAAGATAGCATAAAAACCATGGTTCTGCTCTGGAAAGAATTATAAGTATGATGTAACTTCCTGCCTGAACAGGTACACAAGATATTCTTGTGATTTTGATTTAGCACCATGTATAATAGCATAGCAGGATAAAATTTTGTTTTGGGGAGGTGGGATGATGGTTGGGTTCCCCCTGTATGATACATATAATGTCGACAGAAATCCTGTGAAAAATGAAATTTTCCATTGTGAGCTGCATGTAGGGTCCTGTTTGGTATAGCATATACTCGTCTGATTTCATTATCTTCGATTCTTTTCATTGTTATAAGGATGGTTCAATGCCATCTATATTGACTCATTTTCTCTATTGGCATGTGAATATAATCAGTTAATAAATATTTTACAAGATCATTTCAAGTTCCGATGGATTTCTAATCTCTTAAACGTTCCTTCACAAGTGGGTGACTATCAGCAATTGATGGATAGCTAGAGCTGCCAACGCCGGACCCTAGCATTCTTCTTGAAAGTGATCATCTGGCCACCAAACCAAGGAAATAGTCACTGTTTCATTAGAAATGATATTGCCAATGGTAAATCACATTCCCAAGGGAAGCTTTTCCATAGTTGCCATGCCACCAGTGACAAAGACATCTATTGGGGTAGTTGGGTAGGGCCGGGATTGCTTTGCTTTGGCTACACATTTGTGGCCCTTCCCGCATTATTATCACCATCATACGAAGTATATAGTGTTGGCCACATGAATTTTTTGAATTATATGCTTTTTTAATTAATAATATGCCATATCTTCTAATAAATCCGTACTTTAGAATTTTCTTTTTACTTGTATTACCTGAAAAAAAGAAAAAAAAAGAAAAAAGAAAGAGTTTACAAGATATTACATATGCAAAACTCCTAATCAATTCAAAAATCGAGTTCGATTCAACTGGATTTGAATTGAAAGTCATATAAGTTGTACTAATAGTACCAACTAACTATTAATTTAGCAATATTTTCATAATGTTGCACCTTTTGTTATAAGTTTTTGTCCAACAAAAAATTTTGCATTTGAGATTTTCATTCCCGTTCAATTTTTTTGTTTAAAAAAACCATAAACCATAGCATAGTACTCAACTAGCATGTGCCAATTGGTTTTATTTTTTATTTTTTATTTTATTTTTAAAATTAAGAAAAAATAACATAGGTAGTTATCTATATATATAAAGCAAAAGGCAGAGAATGATGAAACATTCAAAATACTAGAAAATACCCTTGGTTAATTCAAATATTAATATTGAAATCTATATATATAAAGCAAAAGACAGAGAATGGTGAAACATTCAAAATACTAAAAAATGTCATTGGTTAATGCAAACATTAAGAATTAAAATGATTAATTAAATGAGGATAATATGGTAAATTCACACTTATATAAAGCAAAAGGCAGAGAATGGTGAAACATTCAAAATACCAGAAAATGTCATTGGTTAATTCAAACATTAAGAATTGAAATTATTAATTAAATGAGGATAATATGGTATATTCACATTTTTTTATATTAAAAAAAATAATTTTTAAAACAAAATAAGATAATATGTCATACTTTTGTGGAACATAACTACCCATATTATATTTTCTTAATTCTAAAAAAAAATCAATTGGCACATGCGTGAGCATGTGCCAAAGAGCTAGTATATATAAAGCAAAAGACAGAGAATGGTGAAACATTCAAAATACCAGAAAATACCCTTGGTTAATTCAAATATTAAGATTAAAATTATTAATAAATGAGGATAATTAAAAAAAATTAAAATTAAAAACAAAATCAAATAGGACCTATTATCTGATTTTATTTTTATTTTTAATTTTTTAAATATAAAAAATGTGAATTTACCATATTATCCTCATTTAATTAATAATCTCAATTCTTAATGTTTGAATTAATCAAGAATATTTTTTGGTATTTTGAATGTTTCACCATTTTCTGCCTTTTACTACTACGGTCCTTCGGCGGCAAAATTTAATTTTTAAAACAAAAAAACACAGAGAAAGACAACTGTGGTTAAAAGAGGTGGTTAAGCCAGGCCAGCATCACATCAGAGACAGCCAACGGTCAATTCTGGGCCGTCCGTTCCCTCCCAATCTTAACCAAACCCTAGACCTCAGGTTAAGTTTTGCATCTGCCACTTCCCATTTCCAGTTATAAATATCTCGCCCCAAGCCCACCCTCAGATCTCATCTCAATCTGAAAAAGAGGGCGTCTTAATAAACGCCTTCGACTTTTCTTCTTCGTGAGAGCCTCTTCTTCTTCTTGTTCTTCTTATTCTCAGAATTCTTCGGTTTTTTCGTCGCGTTTAATCGATCAAAATGAGAGAGTGCATTTCGATCCACATCGGTCAGGCTGGTATCCAGGTCGGCAATGCCTGCTGGGAGCTTTACTGCCTTGAGCATGGCATCCAGGTAAACTCTCTATCCATTTCTCTATCGATGCTGTTCGTATATTTACTTGGATTTTTTATCTGTGATTTGTTCAAGTTTTGTTATGTTTCTGTTAGATCTGTAGCTTTTATGCGGTGATTCTTCGTGTTGATCAGATCTGTGATTTTATCTACATTTCATTCAAAATTCAGTTCGATCCGTGTTTTTCATCAATCGATTGAGCCTAGAAATGTGAGTTTTGATTTGCATAAAAAATTAACATTAGTAGTGTTGTAAGAAACCTTGTTTAGCTCGGATCTGTTGCCAGACAGATCAGATCTGCATAATTTCTTAAAATGGATTTCGTACTATTTGTTAATTGTACCAATTTGTTCCTCACTCGCTCAAATTTTGTAGTGTTTTTTACTTCTAAAGGTTGCATGTTTTGACATTGGATAGATAAGTGTAGATTAATCACGCTGGTTTATAGCTGCTCAATTAGCTAAAATTTGTTATGGGCTCAGCTTTTATTGTTAATTATAGTGTGAACAGCCAATCTTAAGTTATATAAACGATTGTTATTTATTAGTGTTTATCAGCGTAGTTTTGATTGGATTAGTATGTTAGTTTCTAATTATTTGCCTTCATTTACAGCCTGATGGCCAAATGCCTAGTGACAAGACCGTTGGTGGAGGAGATGATGCCTTCAACACCTTCTTCAGTGAAACCGGAGCTGGCAAGCATGTGCCTCGTGCAGTCTTTGTTGATCTTGAGCCCACTGTCATCGATGAAGTGAGGACTGGAACTTACCGCCAGCTCTTCCACCCTGAGCAGCTCATCAGTGGCAAGGAAGATGCTGCCAACAACTTTGCCCGTGGCCACTACACCATTGGCAAAGAGATCGTTGATCTCTGCTTGGACCGCATCCGTAAGCTTGCTGACAACTGCACTGGGCTTCAAGGTTTCCTTGTGTTCAATGCTGTTGGTGGAGGCACTGGCTCTGGTCTCGGGTCTCTTCTTTTGGAGCGTTTGTCTGTTGATTATGGAAAGAAGTCAAAGCTTGGGTTCACTGTGTATCCCTCTCCACAGGTCTCTACATCTGTGGTTGAGCCCTACAACAGTGTCCTCTCCACCCACTCTCTCCTGGAGCACACAGATGTTGCTGTGCTACTCGACAATGAGGCCATCTATGATATCTGCAGGCGTTCTCTTGACATTGAGCGACCCACCTACACCAACCTCAACCGTCTTGTGTCTCAGGTACAGAAGACTATCTGGTGCATAAGTTTAAGATAAATAATTCGGATCTTTTGGTTGTATTTGAAATTTCTTGTTATTAAATGGTTTTCTCTTTGTTTTTTCAGGTCATTTCCTCTTTGACTGCCTCTCTGAGGTTTGATGGTGCTCTGAATGTGGATGTGACTGAATTCCAGACCAACTTGGTGCCATACCCCAGAATCCACTTTATGCTTTCCTCTTATGCACCAGTAATCTCTGCTGAGAAGGCTTACCATGAACAACTCTCAGTGGCTGAAATTACCAACAGTGCATTTGAGCCCTCGTCTATGATGGCCAAGTGTGACCCTCGCCATGGCAAATACATGGCTTGCTGCCTCATGTACCGAGGTGATGTTGTGCCCAAAGATGTGAATGCTGCTGTTGCCACCATAAAGACCAAGCGCACCATTCAGTTTGTGGACTGGTGCCCTACCGGATTCAAGTGCGGTATCAACTACCAGCCACCCACTGTTGTCCCAGGAGGTGACCTCGCCAAGGTTCAGAGGGCTGTGTGCATGATCTCCAACTCGACCAGCGTTGCTGAGGTGTTCTCCAGAATTGACCACAAGTTTGATCTGATGTATGCCAAGCGTGCCTTTGTGCACTGGTATGTGGGTGAGGGTATGGAGGAAGGAGAGTTCTCTGAAGCCCGTGAGGATCTCGCTGCCCTTGAGAAGGATTATGAAGAAGTCGGTGCCGAGTCTGCTGAGGGTGAGGATGATGAAGGGGATGATTACTAAGAAGTCTGATTGAAGTTTGAACTATCCTGTGTTGTTATGCTTTGTATGTCTTTTTCTGTCATGTGGTGATGCCTATAAGACTTGTGTGTTAATGGTTTTCATTCTATCTGCAATGTGATGATATGGTTAGACTCGTCTGATGTTTTGCTATTCCCAGTTCTTGTTTATTATCTTCTTCTCTGAAACCAACCCCCACTCACCCGTGATTGGTGGTCCACTTGTTAAGGCCAATTGGTGGTCCAACAGGTGTGATCAAGCAAGCATTTGTCAAAACTAGAGCCATTCCTGGTCTTTTAAGATTAAATTTAAATTTAAATTATTGGTATAAAGAATTGAAATGATAACAACCAAAAAACAAAGAGCCAAGAAAGAAATGCGAATGGGAATGTTATCGATTAAAAAATGACAAATGGAATGGATTATTGTTGACACAAGTGCACACATGATATAACAACCCGGACCCGCAGCGGGAGACCTACGGGAGGGAGAAAATGCCATTTGAACTCCGGTCTCACGTGTGAGACTAGATACTCACAACTCCACACTTTTATTTTATTTTTTATACAAACGATATTATATTTTAAACTCTACGAGGTGAGGGGAATTTGAACTTGGGTGCAAAGTGAAAAACGATATTATACTTTAAACTCTACGAGGCGAGGGGAATTTCAACTTGGGTGCAAAGTGAAAAGCATATCTGTTTTAGCCAACTTGACTAAGTCCATGTATATCACTGCTCCTGACTATTTATCACTGCTCCTGACTATTTAGTATACCAAAAATGGTTCAAGTTGGACTAGCAATATTCGCATTGAGTCTTTTCTTCAATAAATTTGAAGGTAGCTTTTTACAAGCACCCATTTAAGTTTAAATACTCACTATTTACTCATCTTTAAATCATTTTTTCAAATCTTTTATTACTCTTAAATAATGGGAGCCCAACAACGGCATCGACTTTTCAGCCACAAGACATGGGAGCAGAGTTTTCAATTTTAACATTTAATTACTTCAGGTAATTAATTGTACATAAAATGTGCAAAAAGAAACTTGATTCAGTACATATTAATGTTCGAGACCCATTAGCCCCAGAACAACATCGCAATATACAGAAGAGAAAGTTATTGATAAGTTTGAGATTTATACAGAGAAAGAATAAACAAGAGCCAATAAAATAGTTGACAGAAACCTGTATTTGGATTCTAAGTTATGTGAAAGACTTTGTGCTTCAATTTACACGAGGTGCTATTTGAGAAATCCTTTCGTCTTCCAGAAGTTCATATGGATCAATGTATTGGGGTGGTGATATTGGCGAACTGCTTCCGTCGTGGATAAAAGTTGATCCAAAGTACTGCCCACAACATTGGAGGATCAATATCTTACAGTTGATAAAATGTAAAGATTAACATCCCCAAACACACCCACACACGCACAAGCCAACACTTCCCCAAACAAGTGTCAAGAAACTTGAAAAAATATGCTTCATGGAACAATAACGAAGAACAGAACTCTTAAGGTTAAAAGGTCACAAGATGTTCGGGAATCACTTCCATATGCAAGTTTTTCAGTCATTATCATTATACAATATGTTCCTTGCAAAATATTTTCTTAATAACTTTCCTACTCCTCTGAAGTATACACAGTTGAAATATGCCTTCCTATTTACAAAAGGTAATGGTTTCGCCTAACATGCGTCTAGCTTGAAGAAACCTCAATATCATATAAGCAGCAGTTCTTGACTATATACCAACCATGTTTCATGTATCAAACAGGTGCATAACATGTCCACAGCTTAAACTTTTGAGAATAGCAGTAAACTAGAAAATATTTAACATGGTATCAAATGGAGATTCTAAGTTCGAATCCTTACTCTTGTCAATCTCTCAATTTATATTGAATTCTACATGCTGGGCTCTTCAGGCGTAGGGAAAGGCCCCCTCTCATCCTAACAACTTAAGTTTTAGGGAATAATGGTAAACTAAGAAAAAAATTAACAATTCTGAAGTGATTGGCATTTGCCAACAATGCACAGTGAGATGTGTCTGGATGGTGCAAACATGTATAAAATTATTAACCATCTGAAGGTCAAGGAAGAAAGCTTACCAAGTAGAGAGCAGAGAAGAGTGCTACAGTTATAAGTATTAATGGCCAAAACCCCAAGAAGAATGTTCCTCCAATTGTCAGCAAGAGTCTGGCCCGAGGGATTAGCCCCTAAAAACAGATGAAGAAGTTAATGCTCATTTCCTGGAACTCTTGTGAGTGTGTGGTCACATGCACAATGAAATTTAGGACCACTTGAACAAATAAGGGCAGTGAATTATGCTGAAGCTAAGTATGAATTTTTGAAAGAGTAAAAACTGAACAACACTCGGTGCTCTACTCATCTCATGAACACATAAAAACCAATTCCATTTCATTAAAACTATTGGATTCATTTTAGGATCAACTAATCTAACACAGTCACTTCCAAGGAAAACTACGAGCAAATCATTTTATAAACCAATAATGAAATATAAGTGATTCAACCTCAAGGCCTTCACTGTTCAACTGCATGGAGCGCTCCCTTTGATTAGCTAGGCTTTTCTCAATTTCAGTTGAGACCGCATTTCTAGTCGAAAAACCTCTATCTTCTTTTCCCATCTCATCATTGGCTCCATACTCAATCCTCTCTTTTTCCTCAAGCAAAGAAGTGGGAGTCATACCCCTCCTCCTTAATTCCTTCATAAACAGTGACTCCGGAGGTTCTTCACCTGAAAGTTTGAAACATACGTTTAAACTGAGGAACATATGAATGTAACCATTCCCTTCACATCATTTAAGAAAAGCAACTGACCCACTAAATTACTCCCAATTGGGTTGTTTTTTGCTAAGAAATACCACAAAAATTTCCCATTTGTTCTTAATTCATAAAAATTAGTTTTTCAATTTTAACTAACTTTTCCTAGTAAATGTTAAACTGACACTGATTTTTCATTTATAAACATTAAGGCAACATAAACTTCTTATCACTATAAGAAAGAAAATCAAAATTGGCTCCTTCACTTTTCACACACAATAACAAAACCGATATTCAAAACCACTCCCCCAATCTATCCATGCATGCTACTCAACCAAACCAAACAGCGGATTACTTCCAATTTCCAATTTTTCTTTCTAGTGGTTCAGAATTGGTCGCTACAGAAAACACTCATAAACAAGTCGGAATTGAACTCATAAAGCACAAATCTTTGATTCATATACATCCTAAATACGAACCACAAAACAAAATTGAAAGCAAAAAAAGAGAATTTGAAGAGCTTGCCATTGCTTTTATTGTCGCCTTCTTGAGCTTTGCAGCAGACCCTTAATCTCCTTCTCAAGTAATATCCAGACCCACTATAACTTGACAACCTGATAAAACTTTTCCTGGACTGGATTCCCGAGAAAACCCAGCTGGATTTTCCCGGAAAATTTGACTGGGAAATGGGCATAGGAGAGAGAGAGGACTTCAACATTTGAAGAGAAGCCATCTCAATGAGAAAGTAATTTCATTTCGTTGCCGATAGCTAAACCAAAAAAAAAGAACTTATTTTTCTTGAGAGCGAAAGCTTTGTTCTAGAGTAGAGGTGAAGAAGCAAGTGGGGACAAGGGGTGCTGGTGTATTTTAGCGGCCGAGAGTTGTTGGTGCCTAACTTGCGCGGGAGATGGCGTGGGCTGCTTCTTGTGGCTGAAACTTGCGGTCAGAGAGAGAGACTGACATTATTCACTATTTTTTTTCCCTCAAACTATTTATATTCACACGCTTGAGACAATTCCAAGCCATCATTTGATGATTTTTTTAGAGAATATCGTGAATAAATTTAAAATATAATAACTAAGATGTGGGAAAAAATAATGTTATATAAGAACAATAATACTGTATTTGGGAGACACATATATCATCATCATGTGAAACACGAGTTATATCAAATAAGGACAAAGTGAGACAAATATGTAATAATACTCATGTGTAAAGTGAATAACGGGAAAGTGTCGTTATTTATACCATGTTTACTAATTACATTGTTTATTATCTCCCTGACATAGATGAATTTCTACATATATGAGTTGAGAGTCAATCTGTAATGCGTGTTTGCACCATAATCAACTAAGTGTGTCTAGCATCAAAACGACTAGCACCAAAGCAGACACGCCTTCTTCCCTGTCGAAAGAAGACACTCTTCCGAAGCGGCAGCCACCTGTCAAAAGTACGTTGTATTGTAATATGATAATGTATTCGCCTCACAAATACAAAGGAATCAAATCTAGGTTTGTGTTTCTAGCAATGTCACTTAAGCTAGAGCTAGGAATGGCTTAAGGTTGTTAAATTAGATATTCTCCTCATAAGCCTTTTAATTGTAAAAATAAATTTTAAATTCGAGCTTTAACTTGCATTGAAGCTCCGAAAGAAAATGCATCTAAAAAAGAAGGACATTGTGGACTAGAAGCCAACACAGGTGGGAAAAAATATCATTCCTTTTGGCCTTTTTCTAGTCACATGATATAATCTTACACGCCATGGATTTCTTTCCTGTTATTCCAGGAAAGTGGCAATATATTCGGTCCAACAATTCGTTTATTTTTAATGAAAATGACTAAAATGGGTCTGAATCTGCAACAATGAACACTAATGCATCGTCAGTGATGGCCCCACCTCAATCGTAAATAAATTCATGGTGAATTATTAACTGCTGAAATATTTATATGTACCTTCGTTTCTCGTAATAACCATTTCAACGATGTTGTGTAATTGTAAGTACAAAAAAAAAAAAAAAAAAAAAAAAAAAAAAAAAAAAAAAAAAAAACCATTTCCATTTTTTCATTTGAAAGTTGAAAGAAGCTTATATTAAACGGGGAGGATATATAGGTCTTTGCGTATAGGCTAAGAGCCTCTCACAATGACTCAAGTTTCTGTTATGTTTTGCAAAATGGGTTGGAGTTGGATGTAAGCAAGAAATTTGAGATTCTTTCTTGCTGCAAAAGCAAGTATTACGATACGTTATAATCATCTTATGTTACCAGACAGTCTCGTAAAGACAACGTGTAAGCATGTGAAATCTGTAAAATGATTATATTTCTTTAGACTTCAATACTTGGAAGCGAAAGCTAGCCGCGGGCTGAGATTACAGTCAAAACTATCCAAAGCATCTCCATAGAAAACCAAAGTAAATTTTGGAAGCTAACATTCTTCAAGAACTTGGGCTTCTTCTCAAGCTCCTATCTAGACTGCTCATCAATCTTTGTCAAGGGCTGACCAGACTTCACGGCAATGTGGGAGGAGTGGCAGTCAAGAAATGGAGCTTGTCTATTTCTAATCTGGTCAAGGTAGCTGATCATGTTGATAACCTGAGATCGAGGAAAATGGAAAATGAAATGCATAACAGATTGTTTTAGAGGAACTGAGTTTTGATTTCATGTGGCGTCATGGTCATAGGTATAGCAGATGAGATGTTAGCATTTCTATATAAACTTTTTACTTTTATTTTTATAGAACTTTGGGCGAAAAACTAATTGCTTTTAACCTCTCGAGCTACAACAAAACAACACAACACAGGCTTGTCTGCTCAACTCCTCCACTATCCTTGGAAGCAAAGCCTGGGCTCAGGGTGTGAAACCAGTCAAGACATCTAGAACCCAAAATAAGAATTGGCCGGCACCATTCTCTGAGGACTTGAGTTCCTTCTCAAGCTTCTTCTTACCAGACAGCCTATCAGTAATCTTTGTGAAGAAATCACCACACCTAACAGCAAGGGGGGAGGAATGGCAGTCAAGAAATGGAGCTTTTCTATTTCTAATCTGACGAAACTGGCTCATGTTGATGACCTGAGATCGATGTAATAAAAGGAAAATGAAATACATAATAGATTATTTTAGAGAAATTAATTGAGTTTTGATTTCATGCTTATCTGCAAAGTGATTAGGTTTCTTTAGACTTAAGACTTTGTATAGTAAACGAGTATACAACAAAACACAGCTTCTTTGTCTGCTCAACTGCTCCTCCACTATCCTTTAAGCAAAGGCTAGTTGCTGGCTCCGATAATAGACAAAAGTACCGTCCGGACAGAGACAGCCTATCAATAACCTTTGTAAAGACCTCACCACACTTAACAGCAAGGTGGGAGATGTGGCAGTCAAGAACTGGAGATTGTCTAAACAAAAGTTAGGATTTTCTTTTACTAAATACAAAATACAAAGCTTGGAAACACAACCTAGGGTGCTAGTAAATTGCAGATACATCTACTATAGTACTTCCATGGACTCAAAGATTCTATTATTACTTTGTCTTTTTCAATATATTACCTTGAACCAAAAAACAGTTCCTCCTAAGCAATGGTCTTCACCTGGATTGATTGGAATGCCATTGGAGTAGCACGAGAAGGAGTGACATCTGAGACTACCAAGACTGAATCTCCTTCTTTCACCAACCCCTTTGATTTTATGAGATGGATGGTGCTTGAGATGTTAGACTCCATATCATCTGATAGATCAACAAGAAGTGGAATAACTCCCCACTGCAAATTCAGAGACATACGGGTGCTTTCATCATTTGTGAAAGCGAATATGGGAGGGTTTGGTCTGTTGCGTGACAAGAGCGATGCCATGTGTCCATGTTTGGTGTACACAAAGATTGCATCCACAGCAAGGTTGTTAGCTGCACAGAGAGCATACAGGTTGATTAAATGATGGCTGACTTTCACAAGAGACTAATTGAGGAAAAGAGAGGCTTTGGAAGAAAAGTATAAGTACCCAGTTCAACAGCAGAATTGCATATCTGCTCAGCAATGCGATCAGGCAATGAGATTCCTAGTTGACGTGGAAGGAGAGACCCTTGTCGGTTTTCCTCACGACTCCATGATTCCAATCTACTGCTGGTCATTTGAAGAACAGAAAGAGCCTTATGTCCAAATAATCCAATTGCTGATTCCCCAGCCAACATCAAGGCGTCTGCATACTGTCGAACAGCTTCAGAAATATCTGCCACCTTTTGAGAAATTAGTCATTATAAAGACTTTCTCACAGCAAATAACCCGAGAAAACAGGAAATCTTTTTCTTTGATTGGTTTTTCTCTCTTACTGCTCCACATGCTACAAAAATAATCATTATAATTAGAGTAGTTTTAGGAATATGCTATTAGTACCTCAGCACGTGTTGGAGTTGGATACTCAATCATTGACTCAAGAAATTGAGAAGCTACAATAACTGGCTTGTTTAGCTGCCTGCAAACTTTGGTGATTTCTTCTTGGACTGTTGGAATCTGTTCAAGTGGGATTTCAACTCCAAGGTCAACCCGAGCAACCATGATTCCATCAGAAGCCTCTATGATTTCTTCCAACTTCTGAAGGGATTCCAAGCTCTCAATCTTAGCCAAAACTCTTACGGATCTGCAAAGGGGAAATCTCAGTTTTCATATTTTGAATTCCAAATGATTATAGGCTTAGTAGCTAGAGAGGTTGATACAACTATGTGGCTCCTAAAAAGAATGGTAAGGATTTATATCTGGTTGAAAAACTACAGAACTCATTTTGGCATGCCAGATGACTCTGGTAAAATGGAAAAGTAAAGTTACAGGCATTTCATTGTTGAATGATGATATTGCTGAAGCATGCGGAAGTTTCATAACAAAATTGGAAAACGAAAAAGCTAACCAGAGATATTGATACAGTTGAGCTCAGCCCTACCCTCACATGCACTTAGAGCCCAAATAAAGGTGCTGAATTTAGAGTGTAAACTTAAGCAAGTACAAAAGTGCCTTCAACCACATTATGCAAAGAATCCATCATATCATGCAAGGAAGAAAGTTTCCATGAAATATTGAACTATAACTGTCTACTTCCTTACGCAGCTGATTTGGTAGAGAGGTAATTCTTCAACTGCCTGACAGATTCAGCATCATTTACGAAGGACATGGCAATAAAATTGACGCCTTCAGAAATTCCAAATTCAATGTCAGACCAATCCTGTAGAACAGACAGAAGTAAACATGAGCATGGAAAGGTATTATAAGAATGTATGTCAGTATAAGTACATAAATAAACAAATAAACAAAATTAAGAAGTCTTCCCCTCCCCCTAGTTAGTAGGTTCTGCAATAGTGCTAAGGTTTGAAGTTTAAGGATTTACATTCATTAATAGGCCAAAGAGTTTGAAAAATAAAATGCAAGAATATTTTATGGATACTGACCTTGGTTGACAGAGTAGGGAGCTCATAGTTCCTCTCCACAAGCTTCCCATCTCTCCAAAAGCTGAATTTTGCTCGAGGCAGGAATAAACCGGAGTCTGTGCACTTACAACGCAGGTCACTTCCTAATTTTTCAATGACTTCAAATCGTGCCATTCCGCCATCAATAACAAGTTCATCACCCACTTTGATACCTGCAAACAATTCACTTGCAAGCCTCAATGAAAAATTCATCCACTACTACAATAAAACCTGCCGGTTATACAATTTGCAATAAAGTCACTACCTTCTGAGAAACCTTCATAGTTGGCTTGAACTGTGAATGGAACAGAACCATCAAATTTTTCATTGGTAAATAGCCAGATTGAATCCTCCTGATATTGCAAGAAAAAGAAAAACAAGTCCATCAAATTGACTTCATTTTATTCTGCATTTCCTTCTGATGACAGATCATGCATCATTCTGAGCAAAACTAAAAAGCCTAACTCTCCTACCTAAGAAGCAAAACCAATTAACCAGTGGGGTTTAGTTAATTTTTACCTGAACTTTAAGAGAAGATGGAGCTCCATGATCAACAACATGAATCTGACTGCCTTCAGTATCAATCATGACCGAGACAGAAAACCCCTTTTCCTCATTCAACTTCTTGATTTTCCTAATCACATCGCGGTGCCACTCCCGCGTGTTATGGCACATATTGAGCCTAGCCACATTCATCCCTCCCAAAACCAGTTTCTCCAAATCCTCCAAAGAAGAACAAGCTGGCCCAATTGTGCACACAAGCTTGGTCTTCCTCAACCCCAAAAACCCCTTCTCCCTCAACTCCCTCTCTGACACCGCATCGAGCTCCAAAGTCCTCTCCAAACTTTTCAGATTTCTCACTCTCTCTGATTCCTCCAAACCCACTTGCACTGCCTGCACTCCAGCCCCAACCTTACCCTTGAGTTTCTTTCCAATACAAGACACCCCATGATGCAAAACTGGTACCCCAAAAACTTGTTTCTCTAAATTAACTCTTGGGTTCTTAGCTTTGATATGAAAACATGTATGAATCGAATGGCCAGCCACCGCCATGGATTCCATAAAAAGATTGAACTTGAACTTTTTGATCAATATCAGAAAGACCAAGATGAAAAAAAAAGGCGAATCTTTCTCACTAATAGAATACAGGGTTACGAACAAACCGATTTCTTCGATGAATAATGATGCCTCTTGGATCGAAAACTCCGTCAAGATTTGGACTTTGTTCGGAGTTTACAAGAAGAAGAGGAGGCAGAGAGGGGTTGAGTGACAGAGTGAAAGAATATTCGTCAAAAAAGAGAAGAATATGGACCAAAAGGAAACAAATTTACAAAAGAAAAAGGAGAGCAGGTTTTAGAGTTTTCGGCATTAAATATTTTGAACACTGGTGCATTCGAAAAGGGGCGGTAGTAGGTGACCAAATTTAACGGTCAACTACCCTTTGCCGGTAGGGTAGGGCCGACAGTGGATCCATTTGCGGCACGTGAGTTTTCAGACCTGTACGGATTTGCAAGCAACAGCTGTATTGTCACAGATGGTCCCAAAGCACAGAGTGGTACAGCCTAATCAAAACCCTTCTTGGATTTTGGAGATCTAAAATCCATTTCCTTCATTTTTTATTACCCAAGAGAAAATTGAAAATGGATAATCAGAGCCCACCAAACTGAAGGGCCTCAAATGAAAGGGTTTTCTTTTTTATGTATAAACGTGGACCCAAATGATTGTAAGCTAAAGGGTCCATCTGACATACAATCAACTCAGTCAGACCAATCTTTGTTTAGCTTCAGAACCCAATTTTAAATGTAAATTCAATTGCAAACCCAGGCGGAAATTTAAAAGAAAAATGCCCAAATATACTATATAGATGGATCGAGGCAGGCAGCTCAAGGCTTAGAGCTTTTTGATAAGGGGTTGTGTTGAGTTTGGTGTTGAAACTTGAAAGGGCTTGAAAGGGGGTTTGCGTATTGAGTTAGTGGTAAATTATGAGAAGCAGTGATTATTATTTTTATTTTATATACAAGAGATAATCTAAATTAGTGTATCATACGGAAAGGTAAATCGAACTCGGGCACAAAAGACGGACACCACACTACCTTAATCAACTAGCTCAACTTATACAGAGCAATGGGGGAATGAGATTCTCTTTAGGGTAAGCAACAATCTACCAACCGACCACATTTTTATTTTTTATGGGTTTTGTATAGAATGTGGTACCAACCTCGAACCCAAGACCACTAGGAGTTAGTGCAAGCGCACTTAACCACGAGGGCATGTAGAAGGCGACCACATTTTTCTTTCATTGTCTTGTTATTTTGATTAATGGTGAAGAGGATATTTGAATTTTGGATCTCTTCCAACATTAAGAAGAGACGTATCACTAGACTAAATGAGAGTTGTTTTTTATTCTCTTGCTATTAGATTGGGATATGCCATGTCCTTCACGTGTATCACATTTGCTATGTGCTTTAACTGAAATATTGTTGGGTTGATGTCATATCTCGTATCTGTTTCAAGAATAAAGTCATGCTAAATTCGGCAAATCTCCAGCTCAAAGATTGCCAATTTGCCATAAACTGAATGGGGCATTAAATTCTATGTTCCCTTAGCTAGGGAGAGGGACCATATCAAAATCACTTTCAACCAAATTCTATATGTGTTATTGTAGCTACTTATATACCCAAAATCACCATTTGTCACTCCCATATTCAGTAATTCCAGCTGATATCCACACTTGGGGAATCAAAATGTTATGTTCTTTTAGCTAGAGATATTGAACACGTTTTTCCACTTGCCAAATCATTCCATATAGTGTGCTTCCTCTAGCCCTTGTGAATAGCAATCTTTTTAAAGATCAATTATTTGTGTTTCTCTTTTGTATGTGTCATGCATGTGTTTGAATGAACATTGGTTATGAAGGGACGTCAAGGAAAACGCGTTCACACCACATATATATGTCCAAGCAAACATGAAATTGAAACGTGTAAGGCACATGGAATTGTGTTGCTTTCATGATTCAAGAGTTAGGTTGTTTGGGCTAAATTGGGGAACCCCATTGTTTGTTATGTCCTTCCTAAATGCGAGATTTACTCGTGATTTATAAGTAGGAGACTATTGGGAGTAAGAAATGGCTTCTGATGTAAGTGAACGACTCAAAGCAAAAGAAATAGTTGTGGGAGCCAAACTAAAACTAAAGCATCTCTCTAGACTTTTCATACAAATTACGCAAGTATTTTCAAAGCATATTAGCATCTGTCCCCATTATAAAGTGATTCTATTGTTAACTTCAATGAGTGGGAGGAGATAAACCAAGCTTACAAAGGGAATTTGCGTAGATAAATTTGCATAATTGTGACACAATTATGTTTTTGTGCAAGGGAATATCAGTCGTGAATGCATGTGAAAACGCAATACGTAAAACTGAAATACATTATCTGGTCTGACAATTAATTGGTTTGACCATTTTCAGTATTGTCAATTCTTCCAATGGAGAAGCAAACAAGAAAAGGATAAAATTAATGATGCCCAAAAGTTGGCCTAACCCCGAGCATATTCTCTGCCTCTTTTGCAAAGAGTATATTCCTTGTCCATAAACGTTTTGTTAATTATTGGTAGCCCCCAGTTCATGACTTCCCAGGCAAGTAGGTTCCAAAAATAAAAGAAAAAAAGAAAAAAACGACACACAAGAAAATATATACAATATCCATGGTGGTGATTTGATTTAACCTTGTTTTGGACGAGCCTGGACCTGGTTATAGTTTTCAATTGCATGGAATCCAAAATCTATGTTTTAATAGTATTAATTGGGAGAGAAGAATAAAGTTTGCATTCAAATCTTATCATATCCCATACTTGATTTATATGACCAAATCTAAAGGCCCGGAAGTGCCTTTAAATATCTTAATTGTAAGCGTTATTTAAGTACGTAAAATTTCATAAAATTAAAGAAAAATATTAAGTATATTTGTCCAAGTTGGACCACAGGTGATCAAAGAAGAACTGCATGAAAACGAAGACCCTTCATCTTCAATTCTCTTTCACTTAACAAAGTATACAAAGATTTTGATTTGATACAAACGAAATCAGAAACGAGAGAATCAATACAAGACATCAAATGCATGAATAAATACACCTAACTATTTAAGCTACAAGTCATTTTTATAACAATTCATGTTAAGTACTCAAACAATAAATTATTTTACGTTCGAAGATTCATGAGTTTAAAAATTAAAGAAATTAACTTTAATAAATAAATAAAAAATTAAAGAAATTAACATTTAAATACGATGAATAGTTTTTTTTTTATCCATTGAATACAAAGAAAAAGAACTAATATAAAAATGAGGTAAAATGAAATTAATGTAAGGTAAGAGTATCATAGGAAAGAGAAAGAACAAAATTGTTTAAAAAGTATTAAAAAGCAAAATGGAGCGGGGAAATCATATCCTTATATAAAATCATATTAATTTGTCCCTAACCTTATAAAACTAATTTTCTCTTGATAAAATCGAACCCACAAAATCATTGTATATTATTATGGTCTTTCATTTTATTATTTAAAAATACAAACTCTCTCGTGTGCCCTGCAGACTGAATATTCCTTGCAATATCCACTCCTCCATTTCCTCCCTCATTTACTCACTCCTTCACTGTAACACCCACATATCTTATACCCGCACCCACTCGCACGAGATCCGCTCGGACGATCTGACCCGTTAATACCGTGTGCCCCACAGGTGGACCCACATGATGCTACACTCGAGTGAGAGCAGAGTAGCTTGGCTCTCGCATTCACATTTCTATATATAGAGGCGCACATACATACAGAACGCCCCTACTTATATACAGGAGAAAAGCTTCGTCTAGACAGGGACAAGAGAACCAATTGTCCTTCACTCTATCTATAATCTATATATATTTTCCTTTTCTCTGAAATTTTGGATTTCATTTCCTTTTCTCTGAAATTTTGGTAAAAAAGTTTGGGAATTTGAAGCGCGGGATTGATTTCTGAATTGGGGATTTCTCTGTCTGTTGTTTGATTTCTGAGAGTGAGAATGAGGTTGAAGGGCGAGATTCACAATCCTTGCTGCGACGAAGAAGAAGAGAAGGTGGCTGAGGAAAACGGCAGAGAATTGAATTCGATTGTCGGCGTTGGGATTTCTCCGCCTGCGAAACTCGTCGTTGGCTATGCCTTGACCTCCAAGAAGAAGAAGAGCTTCTTGCAGCCCAAACTTCTTGGCTTGGCTCGGTATGTTATATAGCACCATCAATCTTTTTACCATTCGACTCTGTTATTGCATGTTTTTGTACACACACACATACACATATTTGTATCTTTGTGAATTTTGAAGCTTTGTGAGTTTTTTGGTTATTGTAGTTTCCTTTTTGGGGTATCCAAAAGGTTTAGTCTTGTTTTCTAGTTTCAGTTTGTATCTCTTGCTTTATGAACAAACAAAAGAAGAAAAAAGAAAACAAGATAAAGAAAGTGGATTTTTGCTGCAGTGGTGTGTGATTGGAGGGTGGGGGTGTGGGATATGGATGTTTTTGTCTATATCGTTTAGCTTTGACAATATTGACCATGGGCAAGTGTTTTTGCTTGGCTTTAGCATACCAGCTTCTCCAGTGGGTATCTAGAATGTTGGTATTTGGTGCCCTTCACTCAGACAATTTTAAATGGGGAATATTCCACCAAATATACTATTTGGAGTTAGTCCACTCAATCAGGAACCCAAAGTCAATTCTTGGTGCTTGGTTCTGTTTTCCAAAACTTTTAAAAACACTAAAAGGTTTTTGCCACTTCTGTCTTACTGAGAATATTTATTTACTTTCTTGTCCCTCATCTTTTATGTAATTGCGCATAGATGATTTTTGGTGCAAGTGAGGCTTAACTATTGCCCCCTCCCCTTTATAGGTGCGTTTACATTTCTAGTTAGAATGAATTTTTTGTTGCCTAACTGTTTGTGTAGCAGATTAGCTGCACATGTTATAGAGATTTGTTTCTGCAATTGTTGATTATGCTTCATAGACAGACTCTTGACCAGTCAGCAACCATAACCTTGACTTTATAGCTGCTCTTGTTATAGAGATTTGTTTCTGCAATTGTTGAGTATAGCATTGCAAAATTGCACATAAGTCCTTTAATTACTTGATTAATTTCTTTTAACAAGCTCAAGTTTTGTGCTTGTAATTAAATGGAATTATTCGCCGTCTCCTGTCCTTCTACTTCCCTTTAATGGTTCTTGGCTTTGTTGGTTTTTGTCAAACTTTTATTTTATTTTTTGTATGTAAGTTAAGAAACCAAATAAATTTATTGAAAACTTATTATGAAATATGAATATTGATGGATACGGACAACCACCAAAGCTCAAGTTTTGAAAATGCTTCAAACTATTTCAGCGCACAATTTAGTAACAACTTTCACGGGTGCAGGAATATGGGAATATTCTTCATTGCAATTGATCTAAACAGGCCACTTTCAGATCAAGGCCCCTTTGATGTTGTTTTGCATAAGGTTAGTGGTCATAGATTCTTTTAGACTCTGTCATTTTCACTTTTGATAATTTCACTGTCTTAAAAGATTTTGTTTAAAAGGCTGCCTCTGGTTGTATGATTTGGAATCTTTAATCATGCTATTCGATAAGTCCCTCCCCGCCTGTTTCACTAAATAATTTGCTCATCGTTTATCGACAAATATAGACCACATTACGAATATGTCTGATAAACCTTTGTTCTTTCCAGTTGGCAGGAAAAGAGTGGTCCGAGATTATTGAGGTTTGTCCATGCAAACCCCAATGCTTCTTGTCTTCCTTCTCCTTTGTCTTGTATTGAATATGAACTTGGGGTGTTGCATTTTCTTGCTGTACAACTTGTCAAATGATATAAAAGGTTGCTTTGTGTTAATGCTGGAAACTGAAGTTTGAAATGGTGGTAGTCAGTTAAAACAAAAATATCCTAGCCCAAAAAGTCATTTTTGTCTGACATAATTTGCAGTGGTTTTGCTCTCCTCATCATGAATCTTGATCATATTTAGATATTGGTGAGCTTGGTTGTAGAAAAAAAAAACATTTGTTCCTTTTTCTTCTTTGCATTTTCTTTCACATAGCTTTTCAGGGTACTATTGTTCGATATTTGGCTTAGATGGTTTATTTTGTTCGCGGAGGTCACGCAGAATCAATAGTCTCTGTCATATGTGTTTGTGTGGCCTTTATTCATAAGACCACTCTCCTACTTGCTATTGTAGGAGACATTAAATAGTGTTTTAAATTGATAATAGGTATTTCTAATCCAATAAGTTGACATTAAAGAATGTTTCAACATCGCAAACCTCTATTCTTTCCTGATATTTATGCTATAGTCAAGTTTGATTTTAGCTTTGGGAAATATACTGACAATAGTTTAGAACTTAGTGGCAATGAACTGTATTAGAATCTTATAAATAGTATATTGAAATTAAGTTAAAATAAATAAAATAATAGAAAAAGAAGTGGGCTGACCTCTATTTTGTACTTAAAAAGAAAATATAAACAAATCTCTTGCTAAAGAATTTGTTCATGTTGAGACACTTGGAAATTATGGAATCTAATAAATTCTTGTTTCCATGTTGGAATGGTAGTGGCAGTACCGTACATAAAAGGAATATTGAACGACCTAATGAAAGTAGGCTAGGTATGTAATTTCAATAATGTGTTTATCTATTTGCACCCAAAAAATTGATAAGCACACGTATCGTCTCTCCACACTCTTTATTCAAATTCAAAAACTTTAGTTTTGCTCAGAGCACCATCAGAATCCCCGAAATCTTCTTGGACCTAGTTCTTTCCAATCTCCAGTTGTCATTGCCACAAATCTGATGCCACTGGTGCTGGCACCATGACAGCCGAATAAGGTCACTGCTTGCTGGCCCCAACAGAGGCGAATGAGCATGGCCAGCATTGGACAATGGCCTTGAAGTTTTTTTTGGGTCAGATTTAGTGCACCGGCTGGGTCTGGAACATTGGTCGGAGCTGTGTCAGCCAATAAGGCCTACACCAGTGCCATGGTCTTATATACTTCTATTTGTTCTTTATTGAGGTTAAAATAGTAATAAAATTTTCTTCAAAAGATAGGTGGGATTAGCATTTTCATAGATGCAGTTATAAGGGCAGTGGTGTCTTTATAAAAATCACAATTCAAAGAGGCTGGCTTTTCATATAGTATATAGAGAATTTCTCTTATAAGCACAAGAGTATAAGAGAATGTTATATGAGAATGTGCATAGGAACGATCATATTCTTATGCTTATTAGAAAACCACTTTACTGATTGTGTACATGGACACATTTAGATCTGAACTGGCAATTGAGTTTGTTGTTTTGCTTGTTGGATGAAGTAACCTGGCATTCAATGTGACTTGTTACTGTCATGTCTTAAATATCACAAGTGTTCCTTTGAAATCTTGTCCTCTCTTGACATGTTTAATGAAAAATGGTAAATTGGAGTTTTCCTGCTCTAGTAATAACCACTGACCCAAATATCTCTCTTTACTCTGTTAGTTACTTTGTAATTGGGTGATGCTAAGTTATGTGATTTCTGTATCATTGGGTGATGCTAAGTTCTCTGATTCAAATATCTCTCTTTACTCTGTTAGTTACTTTGTAATTGTTCAAATCAGTTTGTGGGCTGAAACTCAAAAGCGTAGAATATCCATAGTATATCAGTTTCTGCTATATTGAATGACTAGAACTAAAGCCAAAGTTGAGGATTGCCTCTCTGGTTCAAACAAATAAAGACATGTATGTACCTTTTCAGTGCCAGCCACCACATGCTAAATTTATATAAGTGTCATTTTGCACACCACATGAACTTTTAGAAGTGCCACTTTGCATTTTGCTCGACCCATTAGTAAGTATGAATTGAAAATAACTTTCTACGTTATCCATACATCCAAAACCCAAGTATGCTAGGCAAAGATTTGTTTTTGGTTACATACATGATTTTTAAGGAGTATGAATCAACTTCCATTATCGTTTCAATTTCATATGATAAATAGTGTTGGATAGGATTATGGCAAGCACTTCATTTCAAAGAATTTATATCTTTTTTTTTAATGCCTTACTACTTTCTGTATAAAGTTTCTAAGCATATCTGCAGCCCCGTGGGACTAGAGCACGGGGGAATTTAAAGAATAGATCAGGAGGAGTCTAATAATGCATGTAGTAGATTATGAGGAGTTTGAATTATTTGGCAATTATTCTCTGCATTTTAATATACTTTTGTGCAATAGGCGCACTTATGCTGAATCTATTTAGTACTTAAAAAGATATTACAAGTGCCCTAAGTTTGAGACTATGAGCTCTTTTTTGGTCTATCCTTGATTTATGAAAATTCAATCTCATCTTCCCCATTAACCACCTGAGCAATGTCCTGTGAGCTTTTGCTCTGTCCTTGGTGTTTTCTCAACATGGTTTCATTATTTGGTAACTGAAGTGCAGTTAATTTTACTATGGCCTTACTTTTTTCCCTTTTTCCTTCTGAAGGATTACAGACAAAAACATCCAGAAGTAACTGTCCTTGATCCACCAAATGCAGTACAACATCTACACAACCGCCAGTCCATGCTTCAGGGCGTGGCAGATCTGAATTTGTCTGACTGCCATGGTAATTATTTCCCTTTAATCTTTTATGCAAACTGTAAATTATATATTGGAGTCCCTGACCAATTTTTGTTCTGGCTCTTATAGGCAGGGTTGGTGTTCCAAAGCAGTTGATTGTTACAAAAGATCCATTATCTATTCCTAATGAAGTTGATAAAGCTGGGCTCAAATTGCCGCTGGGTACTGTTACTTTATCTTTCTCTGGCGTTTGCGTGGGGTGTGTTTTCAGGAGCATTACTTTTGCTTTAAGTGTTAGGACACTGTTTCCGCCTCTGAATGAAATGGGTTACATATAATACTAGCTTCTACATACCCAAGTGATTGTCGCACAAGGAATAACTGATATGGCCTATTGATCCTCTGGATCTCCATGGATAATGTTTGCTTTGTAGAATGGTATGTATAGCCATGTTGATTCGCAGGAGGCAGGCTTCTTTCAGCAATTTGGTAGGGGAGATATGTTGTCGACTAATGCAGTCTGATGAATCCTGACTTGGATGTTGATTTCTGTTTATTTTGTAATTCAGTTGCTAAACCGCTACTTGTGGATGGTAGTGCCAAGTCACATGAACTATTTCTAGCTTACGACCAATGCTCACTCTCAGAACTTGAACCTCCGTTGGTTCTGCAGGAGTTTGTAAATCATGGTAATGCATGAGTACCATCATTTCTTTTTCAATCACTTCGTAGTTCTAATAAAACCCTTTTCAATCCTTTCCTGTTCGCCTCATTGTAGGTGGTGTTCTCTTTAAAGTTTATATTGTTGGGGAAGCCATAAAGGTTGTCAGGCGTTTCTCTCTTCCTAATATCAGTAAACGTGAACTAGAAAAACTTGCTGGTGTGTTCCGTTTCCCCAGGGTTTCATGTGCTGCAGCTTCAGCAGATGATGCAGACCTGGACCCCAGCATTGCTGGTAAGATCATTTAACAATATTAAAATTAATATATTGGTGGTTGTGAATAAAGCTGATTCCCTGTTTTCTCAAATGAACTGTTAAGACTTTTCTCAGTGACCAAATGCAGTTTTAGTGATATATTTAACTGCCTTATCCACGGCCTTCTTTAATTTAAAATTGCATGTTTGTTGCAGAACTTCCTGAACGACCTTTGTTAGAGAACCTTGCAAGGCAGCTCCGCCAACGATTGGTGACCTCCCTCTCTCTCTCTCTCTCACACACACAGAGCACTGATGGTTGTTATGAGTTCCTCCTGACTATACTATGTTACTTTTTCAAGGGCCTCCGGTTATTCAATGTTGATATGATCCGAGAGCACGGGACAAAGGATGTCTTTTATGTCATTGACATCAACTACTTTCCTGGTAAGTTCAATTTGTTTGTATTTAGTCTATTTCTGGTTTATGTCAGTTTAAATACATGTTTTGAAATTCAAATTTGAATCTAAGATCTCTCTGTCTCTGTCTCTGTGTCTCTGTAGCCTGGTTGAGTACAGAGAATTATATACATCATGGTATTTTGACATCCCTGCCCCTATCTAATGTTAAAAACGAACCCCTTTCAAATGACTATATATGTTTTCCGTTTTTTCTTTTTCTTTTCCTCAATATCTGTGGAGGTTACAGCTTCCTGGCCGCATATAATCGTATATTTCTATTATAATTCAACATGCAACTTCAATTTTCAGGATTTTAATTATTTACATTCCCTGGGGAAGCCAAACATCCAACAACAGAGTGTAATAATTTTTCTAGCTCTTACAGGGTAACATTTATGTGGGCAATTTAGGATATTTCTTAAATACCAACATAGGACAAATAAAAAACGAGCCATAAGTAGTGAACTAAGGAAGAAGGTACATCCAGACCAAAAAAAATAAGGAAGGTGCCGGTTCTTTTAGCCCCTCATAAAAAATTAAGCCATAAATTGAGATTTCTCGTCTTCAAGAATGCTTTTTCAGTAATCGTTGTGTCCTCATCACGTTCACTTAATCTACTGTCCGTTGACAATTGCAAAGTTTCTCTGGTGTTTAGTTGAACTTTTTGGGCAAAAAATTGCAGGTTACGGCAAAATGCCAGACTATGAACACATATTTACAGATTTCCTGCTAAGCCTTGTTCAGAGCAAGCATAAGAAGAGACCTGCTACTTAATCATTGCCACTACCCACTGTATATGATGTTTCTTGCAAGCAGATGTAGGCCTCCTTGTAACTTGAGGAACGGTCACATCCTGTTTTAACTTCTGTAATTACTGATTGGTACGAAATTCCCTTTGCTTAAGTCTCTCCAATGTACAGAAGGTTCTTGCTAGGCCTATAAAAATTCGAATACATTGTGTTGTTTCTAGGCTGAAAAGTAGCAAATGTCTCCTGTACGTGTAAACTTCCATTTTAACAAATGAAATCATCACCACCCAATTCATGTGGGGGCGTTAACTGATTCTCTCTTCTCGTAAAGGGGCTTGGTGCCACCCTCTCCCCCTCTGTTTTCACCATTTTCAGTTGGCTTGTGTTTGTAGTTTTTGGGGGGTGTATTCAATTAAGATTTGAAAAGAGTTTTATGTTAATTGATGGAATCTTACATAAATTTTGATAGAAACTACATGTACAATTTTGTTTGATCTTTGAAGTAGAAAGATTCAGATTCGATTGGAGGTCCGTTGATCCAATCTGAACCAATTAAAATTCATCACAAAAATCGTAGTCGACACAAGAATGAATGGTTGCAAGGCTAGTTTCACACTAGAATTTGACTTGGCAAATTGAAGCATTTTAATGTGTTGTGAAATTATTCTAAATCCGGACACGACTCCCTTATAATCATAAAAACTTATGTCTAACACAATACATTTTTTTCTCATGAATCTCGATGAGTGATCAAACCACAAATTACATCAAACCAAACCCCCACATAGAGAACCCATTAAAAAAAAAACAATAAAAGTAAGAAATAAAAATTCATGCGAAACAAGAGTAAAACATAACATAACATGAACTCTCATTGTAATTTGTGGAGTTTTTACGGCTCTTAAAACAATTATATTATGGAATTTGGACTTTGAACCATGGCATTTTAGGTTTACTGTGTTGATTTGGACATTGTGGTGTTTCAGAGTTGGATTTATTTTCTCTTTTTTATTTTCAATAAACATAGTTGAAGATTGGGATTTGGATTGATTTTCACCATTGGGGGTTTGAAGTCTGGATTTTGTCATTTTAAGGTTTGATGCATGAATTTTAGCATTTCAGATTCGAGTTTGGGAAATGGGTTTTTGAAATTTTGAGTTCGGATTTTGGCATTTTAAGGTTTGAGATGTGAATTCTATCATTTGAGATTGGGGTTTGGATAATGAATTTTGAATTTTTGTTGTTTTGGATTTGTTTCAAGGTTTTGCAATGTGCAATCTAACATATGAGATTGGAGTTTGGCAAATGGATTTTGACTTTTGGGCATTTGGAGTTTTGATTTTGGATTGTTAGATTTGAGATGTGAGTTAAGTATTTGAGATTGGGGTTTGGAGAATGGATTTTGACATATTTCAAATTTTGAGTTTTGGACTTTTGACATTTTAAGGTATGGAATGTGAATTGTTTGGATTGGGGTGTTGGAGATACATTTTGAATTTTTCGAGTTTGGCAGCTTGTGATTATTTGGTATTTGATTTAGGAATGTAATTTTTTTTTGAGAGGAGTTGAGATTGCGTGCGGGGATGCGTTTGAAGGGAAGATTTTTTGGATTTTTTTGGAAATTTTTGGGTTTTTGGATTTTGGATTTTTTTTTTTTTTTTGGGTCGTAATCAATCCAAGTTCATTAAATCCCAAAAAGGGGAAGGAAACAAATAGATAATACAAGCACAGAGAAGATTATACTAAAATCAGCACAGTATACTAGTACGTAGTAAAACAATCTTCCCTGTCACAAAATCAAAACTAAATACAACACAAAGCCATTGTCACCACCAAGGAGACAGAGATTGCACCATTAAGGCCACACAAGAGTGAATACACAACTACTACACGAGACAACACCGCTACACATAGAGACCCATCGATCATCCACCAAGAAGAGAAGCTCCTAAATAACTAGAAACACCTCAGCACCAGAGCAATCTTCCAAAAGTCACAATCTCCAAGACGCCAGAATCTGCCACTGCACCTAAGAGAAAACAACAACCTATCACAACACCCAGGTATATACCAAAGGGCCGACACCCATAATATTTAGAGCATTGGTGCAAGCACCAAAGCAAGAAGGTTTGGGATGTGAACTCAAGCATTTGAGATTGGAGTTTGGAGAATGGATTTTGAATTTTGGGGTTTTGGATTTGGCATTTCAAGTTTGAAATGTACAAATTGGGGTTTGAAGATGGATTTTGAAAATTTGGATTTCGAGTTTGAGTTTTTGCATTTTAAGGTTTGGGATGTGAACTCAAGCATTTGAGATTGGGTTGGGGTTTGGAGAATGAATTTTGAATTTTTGGATTTGGCATTTTAAGGGTTGAAATGTGCAATCTAACATATGAGATTGAGATTTAGAGGATGGATTTTGACTTTTTGGGGATTGGAGTTTGGATTTTGGTGTTTAAAGGTTTGAGATATGAATTCTAGCATTTGAGATTGGGGTTTGAAGAATGAATTTTGAAATTTTAGATTTCGAGTTTGGGTTTAAGCATTTTAAGGTTTGGGATGTTAACTCAAGCATTTGAGATGAGGGTTTTGGAGAATGGATTTTGAATTTTTAAGGTTTTGGAATGTGCAATCTAACATATGAGATTGGGCTTTAGAGGATGAATTTTGACTTTTTGGGGATTGGAGTTTGGATTTTGGCATTTTAAGGTTTGGGATGTGATGTTTAGCATTTCAGATTGGGGTTTAGGATGTAAACTTTAACAGTTGAGATTGGGGTTTTTGATTTTAGGGCAAACCCACAAATGCCAAAATACATAAGCTCAAAATGCGAAAATCTAAACTCCAAACCCTAAAAAGTCAAAACCCATTCTCCAAACCCCAATCTCAAATGCTAAACATCACATCCTAAACCTTAAAATGCCAAAATCTAAACTTCAAACCCTAAAAGTTCCAAATCCATTCTCCAAACCCCAATCTCAAGTGCTAGAATTTACAAACCAAACCTTAAAATGCCATAATAAAAAGCCAAAAACTTCTCCAAACTAAACCTCAAATGCCAGAATTCACATTGCAAACCTTAAAAATGCCAAAATCCAGAACTCAAATTTTCAAAAAATCAAAATTCATTCTCCAAACTCTAATCTACAATGCTGAAATTCGCATCTTAACCCTAACAATGCCAAATTCCAAATTTCATATGCTGAAAAGTCTAAATCTATTCTTCAAACCCCAATCTCAAATGCAAGATTGCAAATCTAAAACCTAAAACCTAAAACCTAAAACCTAACAAATTCAAAATCCTTTCTCCAAACCCCAATCTCAAATGATAAAATTTGCATACCAACCCTAAAAATGTCAAAATCCAAATTCTAAATTCTAAAGGTCGAAAGTCAAAATCCATTCTCCATACCCCAATACTAGATGTTAGATTGCACATCCCAAACCTTGAAATACCAAGAATTCTCTTTCTTTATCATCAATCGAATCACTGTTCGAGACCCAGGATTCTATTTTATCATCAATCCAATCACCGTTCACGTTTTTTCTTTTTCTTATCAATGAATAGATCTCTTTACTTGTATGACTTAGATGTCTCGTATTTCTCAAAAAAGCGATTCAATTGATGAGATTTGGTATGATACTTATGATATCGATGAGATTGATATTCAAATATTTCTTCTTAGAATGTATTGATTTCCATTATCCAAACCCCAAATCTCATATTCTTTGTTCATACCCCAAACCTTAAAATGCTAAATCTCAAACTTGAGACCCTAAAGATTCAAAATCCATTCTCCAAACTCCAATCTTAAATACTTCAATTCATATCCAAAATCTTAAAATGCTAAACACAAATTCCAAACCTGATACGCGAAACTCAAAATGGCAAAACACAAGCCTGGAACTCCAAAATCTCAAGATCCTTCTTTAAACCCCAATCTTGAATGCTAGAAATACCATCTGAAACTTTAGCATACCAAAATCCAAACTCCAAACCCCAAAAAGTCCAAATCTATGCGCCAAACCCCAATATGAAGAGATAAAATTGACACCTCAACCCTTAATATACCAAAAGCCAAAAACTCCAAATCCCAGAAAGTCAAAGTTCATTCTCGAACCTTAATCTTAAATGATATACTTCACATCCCAAACCTTAAAAATGCCAAAATCTAAACTCTAAACCCGAAAAGTCAAAATGGTAAAATCCGAAATCCAGACCCAATCAATTTAGTTTGTACGAAAGGATCCATACATGACAAACGTCCAAACATGTTATTGAAAAAATAAAAATAAAAATCCAAAACTAGGTTGAAGGACTTTTTAAAAATAAAACAAAAAATAAAAGCATCTCTTCGATGCAGAAAACATATAATTAGCCTGTTAAAATGCGTTTTTCAAGTAAACAATGATCCGAGCTATTAAAGAACGTGTCATTATCATGTCAACTCATACCACACTTGTACGATAAGACTCAATCCAAATAAATACATATAAAAAACTTCTTACCAACGTTGGAAATGTCATTATGCTATTACAAGCCAATCATGTATTGTCTTACATTTTAACTTTCTCACATGACAATGTGTGATTAGCTTAGAATACTACCATTACATTTTAACTTTCTCACATGACAGTGTGTAATTAGCTTAGAATACTACCACAACATCCGTTTTGCAATGCAAATACTTTATTATCCCTATGTATTCATATCTCATATGATTAATTCGAGGGATATGAAAGCCATAATTCTCAACATGTCAGGTCCATACCTGACTACAAGGATCAGGGACTAATAATGCAAGTGTCAATGTACCATCAAAATAGATTAGCCACACAGAGAAATGAGACGCGATCAATGTCAATGTACCATCAATTAGTTAATGGGCCAAATCATGCCAGGATCAACTGGGCCAGCATCAAATCCTAAGTAGCCAAATAGGCCCCAAAGTAAACGATGAGTCTTTTAAAAAAAAAAAATTTCTGCCTGAATGTTTTGATTGTTGTAAAAGTTTCTGTATGGAGCCCACATGTTGGAAGCATTCTCATGCATGGTAGAACCGTGCATCCACAGGAAGCCATCCAATTTGTCTATAAATAGACTTGCAAGTGATATCTGAGGGAGAGAGCTTTATCTAAGAAGAGTTTTATCTGAGGGAGAAAGTTCTATCTGAGCTTTTCATACTCTAATTATTTTTATAACATTGATATTATTCTTAAGAAGACAGTATTATGAAGTAATCGCATCAAGTAAGCTCCTTGTCGTATGAGTTTGCACAAAATTTCTTAAAAAATATATATATAAGATAGAAAATACATTTTTATTTTTGTTCTGAAATAAGGATGCCTTATGGGTAATGAAACAAGCAAATGAATGTGAAAGTGACGTTCTTGTGAAGCAAAGGTTTACTTAGGTCACGACTAACTTTTGCAAAGATGCAATGATAATCAAACAAAACCAGTCTGGAACTTCAAAACATTTGGGACTTGGATAGAAAAGATTCTCTAGTTATAATGAAAGTTATTATTTACACAAATACTGTTTGTAGAACTACAAGAGGTTTAATTCGCCTATGGCTATCAGCTACTTTATACAAAAAGATTGGTTGGTGCATATACTACAAGAATAACTGAAAAAGCGTACTTCTTAGGTCTAGCTGTGGCTCACGAATATCTACAAAGTATATACACATATACACGTTATGTACAGTCGACTGATGTGCTTACCAAAAAGGACACCACCTGAAAGAAGCATAATGGCCGTGGTTAGACGGATGAAGGGGCAAACTAAAAAGTTCATCAATTAGGACGTCCAGATAGATGGGTTTTCATCAATTTAAATTATTCCCCGAAATTAATGGATTCTAAACCATGTGAAAACAAACTTGACATGGGCATGAGAGGAAAAATAGCAACATCTTACCCGACATAATTTTGGCACAAATTTTCATGAGATGTTGCTTGGATAATCAACTTTTGAACTTGCAGCTTAAAAGATAAACCATGATCAACTTCTCGACTATCTCCAGAAATCAGTGTACTGTGGTCAACTACATGTTGAACAGAGCTGGATGCTACAGAGGAACAGGCAGAAAAATCACGGCCAGTAAGTTTATTACTCATCCGAGCCATGACAACCACTGCACGCTCATTCAAGACCTCATTAGCATCACCAAGTTGATTAACAGCCTACATGAAAAAACATATAAAATGTGAGTATAACCAACAGCATCGTCTGGAAGTATCCCACGCTGAACTTCTCCTATACCTGAAGGAGTTCCCTTTCACGAGCACCTCGTTGTGGTTGGGGAAGCTCTCTATTTTGAGAAGGTTCTTCAGCATCCACAACAGGAGGAACATGGCTATTTCCAAGCATTGACATTTGTGGAACTTCATTGAAGTTGAAGAGACGCCAATTGATGAGAGGATCATGAACAAAGGCCTGAAAACAGGAAAAACTAAGAATTAGCCTCCTTATTAGAGGATTTACATGAGAAATAATTTACTGTTCGATTCAGTAGTACTGCATCAATAGATTACTTCTGTATGTAGGTAAAAGATGGTGTTTGTACAACTCTTGATTAATTCAACTCGCAAGTATTTTTCTGAAAATGTCCCAACATAGCTTACTGAACAAAACAAACAAAATAATCCACACCTCCATCATAGCCATAACACACTCTTTATTTGTTCGCAGAACTTGCATCACATTTTCACAAGTTGAACGGAAGTTGCCTTCTATACCACTGACCTCCATAGCTTTCACAAGCATTCTAGTCAACCGAAAGGGGACCTGAAAATACATACATACATATAGTGAATATGTCTGGAAACGGTATTTTAAAGATATAGCAAGAGGTACATTGCAATGTAGTATATACCTTCTCAGGGAACTTCTCCCGGTTCATAGAGGCCTCAAAGCAGTCCCCAAAATCGATGTGCAAGATTTTTCCACTGTAAACAATAGAATATGAGATGCTCCAAAGTCAACTAATGATAAGTCGACGTGCTTCCAACGAAATTACCAATCATTACTTACCTATAGCGGTTCAGCATAAGATTGCTTGGGTGGCGATCACCTAATCCAAGAAGGTAACCAACCTGGTACAAAATGAAATAGTCTTTAATTTCATGTAGATAATTTTATGGGAGAAAAAAATAGTAAGTGAGGTGTTTCGTTCCCGCATTACAGTTCTGAACCATATGCCAAGATAAATTGAGTGTTTCACAAGAGAGAGAGAGATTGTGTGTGTGTGTGTGTGTGTGTGAACGCATGTGTTTCGCCTTTCATTTAAGGATCATCCAAAAACCAAAAAGCCAAATTGGAATAGTTTGGTCGTCTGGTCATCATCTTGATCATTTCTATGTCTATCGAAAACATCGTCTTCATCTATTTATTCAACTACATTACTAAATGGTTCTAGATTTTGTTGACTTTTTGCAGGGATGATTTTTGAAAGGAAACCTAAAGAATGGTTCGCATTATTAGACCACATTGGGGGGGAGGTCCTACAATGTGGTCTTAACGTTTCTCAAAATGAGGGGATAGGAAAACACATACCATACTCATGACTGCTAAACTTCTGGTATAGTTTGTCCTCCTCTCCAGCCATACCTCAGAAGTACGACTTTTCAGCCAAAGAACCTATCAAAAGAAGTTCTAGACACCTTGATAACAGGTCAAAGCAAGCAAACCAATGGATACATAGAAGAATATGCATTTGGTAAGAACCATACCCTTGCAAGGTCGTTTCCCTCTGTATTTGCAGGGCATACTCAAATACTTCCACTTTAGCTATGAGTGGCAAATGATCATAATCCGGAGCAAAGCTTAGCATATACTTGTGTTCTTGATTCAGAGTGATCTGAAACCATGAAGCATTTATACCACGTTAAATCCATGGGTAAAACTTATCCTTGCAAATCAGCTTACAAAGAAATGGAGTCCATATCCATATATGTGGGCCTCTATGCTTAGAGAAGAATAAAGCTTCCAGAGGACATCAACTAACCTTTCTGGCATCCCTGTACTCCCTAATGAGTTGGTGAAGGGTGTCACAGTTTGGGACCCAACCAATTAGACCACTGTTTGGAGACAAGGGAACGACATCATATCGTTGAATGGAGAGATCTTTTTCCGCAGTATTTCTAGAATTCTCCAGTAGTGTATTCACCAAACCAAAAAGCTAACAAAATCGAACATGTCAGGTTTTATAATTCATTAACATGTGAGGAGAAATAGTGTATACAGATAAAAGAAACACATGATTTGGAACCTCAGTGGTCATTTTTTTAACAATTTCTTAGGTAGAAAGAATAGAGTACCTGCATGACACGTTCATCTTGGCGTAAATCTTCATGTCCCTTCAGCAAGAAAGCATAATCCTCACCATCACTCCCATGAATCGTTAATTTCCTTGGTCGCTGTTTGGATGTTATGACAACAAGCTGGCGAGCAAACGATGCAATTGTTACAACTGGAGATTCTGCAATATAAAATTCAACTATTTATTAACTCAAGTTGAATACAAATACATTCATTAGATTATTGGAAAATGTGTGCTTACCAGCACGGTATGTCCCAGGAACAGCAAGCTCCAAATTACGACATTCCAACAACTCTGGTGAGACAGACTAGCGACCAATGTAAAGAAAAATGTCAGCGCACGTATAATGACAATGCAAGAAGTAAAACATGAAAGAAGCAAAAGATCTCCTCACCTCCAAATCCAGGGTAGTAAGACTCTGCAACTGCTTATCTATTCGTCTAAATACATGATAATAAAGATCCCAAGCCTGCTCAAGACATATTTTAATAATTAGCATCCAGGGTTATGACAAAACTAAAATAAAGCTTTCATGCCATAATACATACGTCTGGACAAAGAAGCAGTTAAAATGCATATAAATCCACGAAGCTTATAGTCATACAGCTGAAAACTGATGAAGAAAGTTCTATCACAAGGAACTTAAAAACGCAAAGGACAAGATGAGGCAAGAGCTGGTGCATAGAAAGTTCTATAATATCCCATGTAAGTGTACAGAGAACTGTGACATGTGCTTGACCCAAAAAAAAAAGTGACATGTGCAGGCCCATTTGTTAAGCTCCTGAACATATTTTCTGGGAAGATAATAACTAGATGTCCCCTTATAATTTATTTTTCAGAATACTACTAGGACTTTTTGAAATTACTATTGGAAGGTATCTCTGTTTTAATTTTTTTTACTTCCAAAACTTAACAAGGTTTTTTTTTATATTTTTTAAAAGTTCATCAAACAGTTAAAGTTCATATGCACAACTATTGACTTTTTGCAAACTAAATAAACTCGAGTTTAAAGGACAAACTTTAAATTTGAGCTAGATTTTCTTTCAATTTTTACAGGAAGTGGTAAACTAAGAGATCAATACCATGTCACATCATGATGTCGTATCTTCCCCTAAACTAAACCCTAGGGGGTTGACGAATATATAACTTATAAGGTCTACACACAAATACAACTGATGCTACAACGTACTAATGCAACGGATGGTAGAATTGCTTCGTGTTGACAACTCATGTAATTTATGGCCTAATCAAAAGATATACTCGCCCAAAAAAATGAAATTTAAATGCAGCAGGATCATGAAAATGGAGTAACATGTAAGCTGTTAGAAAAAGTAGGCTCACACAAATACATTTCCTCCACTCCAAGGATGGAATAACAAGAGAGTAAAGGAAAACCATGAATTGGCAAGGATCCTTTCATAGTATTCCAGACAAGGATCCAACCCACAAAAACATAGTGACAGATTGACCATTTATGACCTCTCAGAGTTCGAAGATATTAATGACTTCAAGTCAGAAAGTAAAGAAACAAAAAATTTTGCTATAGAAAACTTTCATACCTGAGTAAGCTCAGCGTCTTTCCCAGTTCTCTTATATTTCATGCAACACTCATAGGCCTCCAGCAATTCATGTCGATAGGCCTGAGATCATACCAAGGTGATATATTCAACAATAGAAAAACTGAAGCATGGAGCTCCAACCAAGGCTTGAAGGGTCAAAAAGTGAAACAACAGTGTAATTTTGGAAGATTTTCATGCTCTGATTTGGAAAACTCAGGTTGACTGACACAAGATACTAAAGAATTAATTATGAAATAAAACCCAGAAACAATGCAAATATTCCAGCATGCAGTAAAATCATGGACAACACAAGCAATGAAACAACCTCAATGAATGCTCTCTCTTTTATAGTGGTATTGTTGTTCATAGCCCCCTCCTCAAGCATTTCATGTAATGGCTCCAACACTTTTAGCATTCCCTCAATGTTATGTTCACCAAAATACAAGCGGCTAGCTTCTTCCAGAGCCTCATGCCACATTTCATGCCAAAGTATTGCCACCCTGATTAGTTCCTTTGATACAAGTTGTGCCTGTAGCCAAAAGTAATGTGCCTTGTAAGAGAGGTTTTCTATTGTCAAACAAGGGGAAAGAGCTGAACAAATTGATGGAAATTTAATTGAACTATTATTCCACCTGATCCACAAGCACACCACTATGCTGCCGAACTTTGTCAACCACTTCTTGAGCTGCAGCTCTGCGTAAATTACTTATTGATTTACATGCTACAAGGAGAGGGTACATAAGAGCCTGTGAAAGGAATTGAGTTACTATAGTACATATGAAAGTCTCACTTAGCTAAATTATTGGCATTCATACGTGCTACAAAACATGTAAAAGGAACTTGAACACTAGATGAAGTCCTATCCAAAGAAAGGTAATTCGTTTCACTCCATGTGGTGAAAGTGGTCCTCAGATTGAAAGGGGAATGCCAACCAAGAATTGCATAATTACAAGAAAGTATGTAGAGAGATAAGGAAAGAAAGGATAGAAATCAGTAGAAACACATACTTGTGCTCTATTCATTTAATAAGAAAAAGAAACATTTATTAATCAAAGAGAAAAATTACAAGGATGGACAAGAAGCTCATCAAAATCAGAGTTACAATCATCTAACCAAAAAAATATTACTCAATTCGAATCTCCTCCATATCAAGATAAACCACCTAAAAGAATTATCCCTAATACACTTGAAAAACACTCCCAAAGAGAAGCTAAAAGTCTAATTCTACCCAAAGTAAACCCACTTCCTCCACCTTATCATTCCTATCCAACCTGTCCATATAGAAGTCAATACTGCACACAGCCAAAGGGCAATCGCCATTTTGGTGGCCCTAATACACAATGATTTTACAACATCAACAAATAGACATTTTGAGGCAAACCCATACCACTCCAAACAAATGAATAATCATTTGTTGTGAAGGGATGGCGTCAAAGAATGATGAGAACTCTATCCTGCCCTTTTGCACATAACAAACCATTGTGGAGATACACAAGTATCGGTCTTTTTTGGAGCACATCCTAGTTCAACTGAAAATACTAGTGTAAAACTCACAAATACAACAAAAACGAATGAAACTTCATAATAAATAAAAACATAACCAAATTCCACCGGTCCATCAACGTCTAGCAATAACAATTTAACAAACCAAATTCACAATCTTGATATTCATACAATACAAGTAATAGATCATAAAAACATACCTGTGGATGACTTTGTCCAATTCGCACCAAAAGTGACTGTATTAGTTCCCTCACAGCACGGTTATTAGAATGTATCCTGGCAATTATTTGAGGCAAAACCACCAGCCATGTGTTAATATTAACATGTGCAAACCCTGTCTGTAGTGCCATTTGGACTTCTGCAGTAGCTCCATGGTTGAACCACAATGTAAGAAGACGAAGAATATCCTGAACCACATAACAGTTTCCACAGAGATCATCAGCAATATCTTGAAATTACAAGATAAATGATATACAGGAAATACACTGCTTCCTAAGAGCAGTGTGCCGACCAATTTCACTATACTGAAATGTGAATAATAAATTTCATTTTAAGCTTTTATCTGGTCATAATAAGATACATAATCATACATCTATTATTATCTTTATAAATAACAACTACTTAAAGTACGTGGGTTCACATTTAAATAACTTCAGCAGATATTAAAATGGAAGCATGGATGACTTTCACATACGATATGAAACACACAGTGCAACTCACATTCAAGAACCTAAATTTGTAGAGCCATTGCAAGACATAGAAACCGAAAAGGTCTTGAAAATTACTAAAGTTCAAACAAAGCAAGTGATTTTGTATAATAGAGAAATTTAAATGATAAAAATCAAATGAAAAGCTCGGCTCTTCTAATGCAGTACAAAGACAAACTGAACATAATATGCCAAATACTCAAATCTGGCTCAGGCTGAACAGGTAAGACCAGAATGACATTCGTGTTGCAAGTCAGGCTCAGTAAAGCAATACTATTTACCTGTAAACTATCATCAACACCTTTAGTATTGGCCGAACATGCTATTGAGTGAAAATATCCAGTGACTGCCGCAACAACGAACTGTGAAGCAACACTTGCATAACCTCTTACAGTATAAAGAGACATCACTGCTGTATTGAACAGCGCCCATGTGTGCCATGCCTTTGCCCATTTATTGGCATATTGAGTTGCATTGCGGAAGGCAGCAAGGATTTCTATAAAAAATGAAAAACAATCAACAGAAGATTGATAACATCTGCAGACCAGGAACAAAATAAGCAACAAATACCTTGTATAGAATCATCATCCAATCCAGGAGAAAGAGTCCATTTCCAGGATCCAAGTCTGAGATACACACGGGCAAGAAGAGGAACACTTGGACTACTACAGCTCATCAAGCCAGTTGGAGTATCTGGTTGCATACTGGGTGCACTTGAAAGCTCTATTGCCAAATTCTAAACAATATTGTCATAGCCAAGCAATATTCACAGTAAGAGATTTGCAAAGTACGTAGTTCATAAGTAGTTGAAGCAGAAGTACTTGCTCATTGGTGCTTTTACAAAAAGGGAAATATTTTCTACCTGCAGCCTTGCAAACGCTTCCTTGCGCTTAAGGTCCTCTCCAAGTGACCATTGGTATTCCAAATATGCAAGCATCACTTGTGGAGGCCCATGGTACCGCACACTTTCATGAGATGATTCAGGATCATACTGAACACAATTAAAACAATCTTAAGTAAACAAACAAGATGAGAATACATGCAATGCTAATATCTTTTGATACTTATACACCACCAACCTGTAAGAGTTTGACTAAAGTAGATCTAGCCTGACTAATTCGCCCACTTTTCCGACAAAGGGAAGCAAACTTAAGCCAAGTGTCAACATCTTCTGTAGGAGGTAGAACAAGTGCTCTAACTGCTAAAAGAGCTTGCCATACCTGCATATTCAAGCATGATCCAATTCAGTAAACCAACCATGAATATGTGTATTTGCATGCATAAGTTCTTGAACTGGGGTTAATTCACAATGCTCCTAAGCAAGATTTTACTCCAGATTTGGAATCTTTCAGGACTTTGGTACAGTACACAAGACCTAGTGTTTAAGGTGTAGTCTGCTGGGTTGTCCAGCCCATGACGAATTTCCTAAGCTTATTAGGTCTAATAATTTTGAAGGATATGAATCCTATTACCAATTGAGAAGGTTTCATGTACTTGGTAATCAAATTCCAATTAGGATTAGATTTCCTAATTGATGAAGCTCACTATCGTGGCTATATAAGGACATTTGATAAGAATAGTACCTCGTTTTCTTTTTCTTTCTAGTTGTTCATCAAGTCTTGAACCTAGAGGCTTGATATGATATTTTGTTGTACATTATTGATTTAGTGGAGATCATTGTTGCTGCCCCATGGACATAGGCATAGCCGAACCATGCTAATTCTTGGTGTTCCTTATCTTCTGGCTTATTTTCTTGCGTTTCTTGAGTTTTTTTTTTTCCCATTCTTAAACGCTTTCACAACATAGCCCACATAATGTGACCCATCAAGAGGCAAGAAGGGGGGAAATAACTGTGCATAGAATAGAGCTATGCCATAGACCCTCTTCTCCTGATAACCCAACCTGATGATATGGAGGCACCAAATGGAACCAAATGGAACAGGCTAGGTCTCTTAGGTTATTATGGAGCAACAGAAATCACACAATTATTTTCCGGTATCTATAGGTATATTATATATACTATAATATGGACATATCGAACCACATAGAAACACGAGATTAAGGGTCGGCAGGTTGACATTGACATCAAAATCTATATCTCCAGAGAAGTAAACTTGATTACTTACAATATGAAGCAAGTAATCAGTAATGATCATAGCTCAATCGAAAAGGTTACAAGAAGAAAGTTTATGTATCCAAATGTTCGCAAAAGTCCCATTGAGCCTTTTATTTATTTTGACAGTTATACAGAAACTAGCTATAAGCCTATATGTATAATTTATAAAGCATGTTTACCTCAACATTACGTTTTGCACCTTGTATCCGCTCATTCCACATATTGCGAATAAGGGCTCGTCGTCCCTCAGCAACAGCGTTCCCCAGAGGAAGTGTGCAATAATCAATGACCTGATCAGAGATCTTTATATTATGATTCATAGTACAAATATATAGGAAGAGGGTTAAAAAAACAATCAATTGACCCTCATGCCTTCCCCTCCCATCCCAAAACAAAAAACAAAAAACAAAAAACAAAAAACAAAAAACAAAAGAGCAAACCTCCTCAAGTTCTGATAGCTGCTGAACACGGACCATATTGATGTATGCACGTTCATAGCTCTCCAAAACCTACACAACAAAGAATGCCAATAATAAAAAAATCTAATAAGAGAAACTATTAAATGTTGAATTCTATTGAAAAAACAACATATTAGGCTGCCAAGTTAATGAAAATAACTAAGACCCCGCATTAGTAACATAACTTTTCCGAAAAAGGACTGTTCAGCTTGTTGTGACCAAGTGTTTCAAACCATAAGATTTTCACGATCGAATGAGAAATTTCTTAGTATTTCTTTCAACCTTTCAGAGAAACATAACCTCGCGATACACCATATCACTCTTATGCTGTAGTCCATATATTGCTTCAACATTCAATACGGTCCTTGCTTTCAAATTCCAACAAAATGCTTCAACATCAGCTTGTGAAACTCGATCACGTGGACTCGTAGACTAGGAAGCTTATAGACGAATGCAAAAATTTATAAAGATAAAAATGAAGACTCACCAAAGCAGCAAGCTCTGTTGCCAAGCATTTCCTAGCTCTCTCAACATACTCCCGTGCTTCATCATACTGCATCCAAAAGCAATAGAAAACAAAATGAAACAGGTCATATACAATAACAAACAAAGAACTTCCGCAAAAATGTTCAGGCACCCTATATTAGTTTACACAATACTTATGATATCCTTTAGCTACAACGAAAACTTCATAACTGTTCTCTTTTCTGTAAGTAATATATATATATATATATATATATTATAGTATAATATAAACGGACTTGACTGTATAACAAACCTTGTATGTCAAATGCTAAATGACAAATTGAAATCATGACACACACACACACACACACACACACATATATATTATAGTATAATATAAATGGACTTGACTGTATAACAAACCTTGTATGTCAAATGCTAAATGACGAATTGAAATCATCACACAATAGGGGAAGAGATAGATTCTGTTTCATTTCAGAAGAGTGGCCTTTTTAACCAGCAAATAGAATATACGTTTATACTAGGAGGTTTTCACATTTATTAAGATAAAAGGTATTGACTATTTACTAACAAAACGCATCTGTCAAATGATTTTGGTGTCCTTATGTCTTGTCAGGTTGATTCTTGAAGTACAATTCACAACTTGTTCTTCCCATTATGTTAGGTTGAAAGAATATTACACAAAAGAGTAACATGGATATTTCATGATCTTAAAAAGGAAATATAAAACCTTGTTTCATTAAAAAGAATCATATGAGTAGAATTATTATATTAAATTATCAAAAGTACAATAGGACAAAAATGCATTATACCTTTCCTCTTCGAACTAACAAAACAGCTCTAAAGAATGTGCCATTACTGCTTCCATCACCACTAGCAGCAGTGTTCCCCAAACCCCTAAGTTTGGTTTCATCACCATCGTCTAACCGAGACACATATTCTGCCATTTGATCCCACTCCCCCATGTTCCAAGCAGCACTTGCAGCCTGGTACAATCAAATGCATAAATATTATTACAGAAGCAAGCAGGACATCAAGGTGCCCTATTTAATCACAAACCAACCATTGGTGCCATTTCCAATCGAGCAGCCGGCTCAGCTGGGGTCCAATATTCCTTGAACAGGTTGTTAAGCTCCTCCCATCGTGCCAAAGCAGCAAGGCATCGCATCCGACCTACAGAAGCAACCGATACAAAGCATATTCAGAAACTAGTACAAGCAAAAAATGATCCCAGATTACAAAAAATTTAACATCACAATGTAGTTAAACAAATTTGATTGCACATTAACATCTAAAGCAACAACAATAATAAAATAAGCAACACAGACCTAAAGTGGCATCCAAAACAAGATGTGCACTCGATGCTTGGGAGGCTTTTGCGGTGTAGGCCTTGAGAGCATCATCCCATCGTTGCAACTTCTCATACCTAAACAAGTACAACATGACACGAGTGATTTTCTTTTTTTCTGTTTTTTGGGTAAGAAAAACTTGTATTCATTGACTTAGAAAATAGTACAAAAATGCAGTGAACTATGAGTGATATTCTTTTCCAATGTCTTTATAAAAATAAGTTGAAATTGAAGTTACTTTCTTTCATTAAATAATGAAAATTGAGTAAGGGGCAAGGAGGAGCACAAACCAATTATAAAATTAAATCCAAAAGTACACCCAAAAATAGATAAAAAGGCTCTTGAAATTCACATCGTCAAAGAAACCATAGCAAGAAAATGAATTATTTCAAGGGCATGAAAATTATTGGAGTATATAATACTCAAAATTACCATGACTCTTTTAGTTGAACATCCAAATGTTGTTGGGCATGGGTCAATATTCCAACTGCAGCCTGAGAAACACAAAATTATTAATAAAATGGTCGGGCAATACATGTTCACAGGGATATCAAACCTCAGAATATAGTAGTGAAAGAAGCGGTTTAAAAAAAATTTCTTTTACAGTGAACCTCATGCTGGTGTAACTGGTTGTTTATATGTATAAGTGCTTCAACTACAGCAACAGGGTTGGCATCCATCTTCTTGGAGCGTGCTCCTTCAAACTCCATTTCTTTGTAATGCAAGGCCTTCGCAAACGCACGACACTGACATGTATAGATAAAGTAAACATACATGAAACATGTAAGAGAGATTGCAAAATTCAACACCACCAGTTCCAAACCCACCACACAAAAACCAACACCACCCCACCCCCCCCCCCCCCCCCCCCCCCCCCCCCCCCCCCCCCCCCCACCCAAAAAACAAAACAACCAACCAAAAAATTACCAAAGAAGTAAAGAAAATAAATAATTTTACCTTTTCAGCAAGAGCACCAAGCAGGCGAATGTCTATAGGAAGAGGTTTCTCATCATGTTCCATGAACTCTGCCTTCAGAATCAATTTTTCAAACAAAATCAACAAAGTCAGACAATAGAAAGAAAGTTGCTATCTCATGCCAAAGAATTTGATGCAGTACGACATAGTTTCCTTTCTTTTCTTCTCCATGTTTCCATATAGAACCTCAAGTTGTGTACTTTAGATAATAAATTTCAACAAGCATCAAACCATATGAACAGCTCAGTTCAGCAGCCTTAATTAGATGTACAACGTACCATAGCAATATAGTTCAGCAGGCAGAGATGCTCAAATAACAAGAACAATTTCATTTGCAGCTTCTTATGTTACATCTATTTTAGGAGTAATCCATATGCTCAAAAGACATACCAAATTAAGAAGTGTTGCCAAAATTTCAGGAGGAATATTAGGAGATGAAAATGCCATCTCCAAACTCCGAACTAACTGTTTCTGACTAGTCTCATTTAGCTGTGCCCAACAGCTAACAAAACCCGCTGCAAATAACTCGCGCCCAACAAATGGCTGCAAAATGCAGGAGATCAGAACCCAAACTCCAAAGGAAAGAATGTACACATTAGTATTATATGCAATACCTGCAACTGTGCAAGCCTTGCACAAGTTCGTAGGGCAGGAGAAGGAGACTCCTTGAGAAGCTCAATACTAAAATGTCTCATCCATTCTGCCCAATCTTCTTTGGTACTGCGTTGAGAAGCCTCTCCAGCATTGCGTAACCGACTATCATTAACCTGTATGTAACTTGTACAAGTCAAATAATCAACTTACATCTAAAATAAAATAAAAATAATATTATCATAAAAAGAGATGGGAAGGCAAAGCCGATCAGATATAGCCAGATCTATGCATTTTTAACACATACATAAGCAGCATAAAGAAACAGGAACCACTATGCTGACATAGAATAGAAAATAAAAGAATAGGGATTATGTTATAACATGAAAAAGAAAACAAAACCAATATAGTATAACCCTAGCAAATTCTAATAGCAAATAAAAAGAAAAATTGCCATGTTTAACAACCACATTAGATAAACAAGAGTTTAAGAAAAAGGTCCCATAGTAATAACTATACAATAAGTGCTGTGTTTGACACCAACCTCTATACTTGCAAAACAGTTGTCACTAGATTAGAAGTGGCTATGCAATATCTGATCTGCTTGACATTTTATTCCTAATATCATTATATTTACATCTAAATTCCCCAGAAACTGCTAGCCCCAAAAAGACACTGCCTTCGACATGTTCAAATGTCCAAATACCATCTTACATCAAAGTAACGCAGTCATTACCTAGGCTTTTTCCAGGGCACTTGGTCTTCCAACAAATTTTGACTGCTGACAAACATAATAGCATGAAAATTACAGAACGTGTAATCACAGGAGAGATACCTGATGGCTTCGGAGTTGTTTCTGCACATCAGACCCATCATCATAAGGGTCAATCTCCAAATCACTCAAACGGTCAGTGATAACCTCCACTGGAAGTCGCTGACTTAATCTTTGAGCAGCTGTGCTCCCCAAAATTAGTGGTTCTCGTCGCTGCAAACGACCTTCGATTTCCTCGAATTCTTTATGCTGATATGAAATAACCTTGTTTACTTAATATCACCAGAAGTAAGAAACCACAAACAATTTATTTTTAAGGAAAAACATTTGGAAATAAAGGTAGGGGAAGAGGAAGACCCGTAAGCGATGTTTCAACAGAAGTTTGTGTATTGATGGGATAAAAATGGTAAAGTCCTCCCCAAGGGCATGAGCTAGACAACAAAGCGCATCAACAGCATCATTCCGGAGCTCATCATTCTCCTGTAGTACAAAAGTTCAAACAGTTGAGAGTGTTAGATATGTAACTAAAAATCAAAAGACACATCTCATAAAATACCAGAGTATTTAAGACGCCAGATCATTCCCCAGCTGAAAGTTATAACATCAAACCAAATAAAAAAATTCTCAAACTATTGATAACCTGTAACCATGACACAACCTCAGAAATATTCAGGAGATACACCAAAATAAGAAACAGCAACTCAGGCATACTGATCCACACGTTAATAGAACAGCACTTAAAAAAAAGGAAAAGGAAAACATGAAGAAAAAAAAATTCAAAATCTAGAGCATAACCAAGTTATAGTGATCATCACTGATCTATTAACAGCATACACCATAAAGCACATCCTCAAAAATTTTGGGCAATACAAAAATGGAATCACAGTCACAATGATCTCTAAACTAGAGAGAAATAAAGTTGAAGTCCTAACTTTAACCATCCATCATTATGATATAAATGATGTCAATGAAAAGAAATTACAAAAATTAGAACCGGACGGAAGCAAGCTGTCATTAATTGTTCTAAACCAACCAATAAATCTGCAATTGTAGCCAAAAAAGAAAAAGATAGAATGTAGTAGTTACAAACTGCTGAAAATCCATTGACAGAAAAGTTTGAATATCTATAAAGTTTGTCTAAAACTAAAATAGTCAAATAAAATAGAAAACAGGGTGTGTTTAAGCAACTTAGTTACCCGCTGAGGACAATTTTTGACCGAGGTCTAGAAAGACCAACATTTGCACAAGGAGATCAAATCATATAGCTAAGCATGATGGACAAGGCGATGCAAATGTGAAATAACATATGCTATTCAAAGCCAAGGAAAAAGGAAACAGACCCATCTAAGACTAGCTTCAAGTGATGCACAAGAGAAGATATGTGACCAGTAACCTGAAAAAGAAAAATAACACATCACAATCAAGATTCAAGATAGAACTGAATTATGTTTTTTTTACTTAAGAAAGGAACACGGGGTGTGATGACAACCTGCACACGAGGGATCAATTTTGTCAAAGTTTTGATAGCAGCACGTCTTATATCCACTGAAGCATCCACTTTAAACAAGCGAATGAGTGCAGGAAGAAGCAGATGCATATGTTCATCCAATGTTCCTACATTTTGAAGCTGAAATGAGTCTTTACAGGTTGGCATATATATACTCCAAACTAATCGCATACAATGCTTTTAGAGCTCTAACAGAGGAAACCATTTTGTTCTTTTGGGACTTAAAAGACCCATACAGCCAGCCTTGGTGCCTTTTGAGCAGAAAGCCCAAAAACCTTTTACTTCTAAATCTCAAAAGATAACAAGCCATTTTTGTGAAATCCATTAATCCAATAGAAAAGGCTACAAGAACAAAGCTAACCGTCATATATACATTTTCTCATTATTTTGGGTTCTATCTTGAAAGAAAGAAAATTTTCCAAGCTGGATTCTCAAATACAGATATTCTACTACGTGAGTGTTAAAAAGAAGATGATATCAAATTATATCTCTTGCCTGTATTTTATATGTAATTCGCAAAATACAATTCCTCCTTTCCCTTTACGATTTTTACTGCAATTAATCTTCAATAGATTGCATATTCACATGGCCAATCTCCTTAAATAAACTAAAATTGACTTGAAGAATTTGACTGTCATATTTACTTTCTCATTGTTAATAAACTAATTCAGTCTTGAGCTTGACAGGTATTTTTTCATCAGACATGAATTTCTAATATCAATAGTTGAGACTATTTGCAAAGCTAATTTAAATATCAATATTCATGATAATGAAAAATGAAGGGTACTAACCACCAAACACTTCAAGGGTACAGAGGATGTCAAGAACATAAGTATAATCATTATACCGTTCTGCATCACTTAGAACTTGAATACAACACGGAAGAATATCAGGAAGGTATGTTCGGAATTCATCATTGAGAGCTAAGCAAAGCTGCTCCACTAGATGCAGAACCTGAAAAAGATTACAGAAGAATAGAAATTAATCACACTGGTACATTCAAGCACTAAATATCAATCTCATGATGAGTAATTGGAAACAAAAAGAAAAGGGCAAGCTTACTGGATAGCCAAGTTGAGGACGGCCAGCAGCAGGAAAACTGAAGGTTGACCATAGTTCTGAAATTAGAATGAGTAACTCATGCAGATACTTCCGAACGTGCTGCACAGCACATCAAACCCACATATGATCATCAAGAAATCCTCCACAATCATTACATGTGTTAAAACTTAGAAAGTGTCACGACATCATAATATACCTGACGCACAATAGATACTAGAGTTCCAAGCTTCCATGTTATAAAATCCTTTAAAGCATCATCACATGTACGGACTAGATGGAAGAGATCAGGCAAAACCTACAGGGAAGAAGAGTAAAAACGCACAACTTAAAGCCAGAAACACCAAACACAAAAACAGCAAATACACCAGTATATAAACCGTCAATGAGCTAAATAAAATTCAAGATAAAAATGGACAGTTGAAGAATATTGATAATAAATTTGTTTCTTTCAAAAATAAATAGAAATGGACTTCCCAAAACATGAATAAACTTAACTTATGTTTCGTACAAAAATGGAAGGCAACATATCAAATAGTTCCCAATTATGAAATTTAAGGTTTAACAAGAAAGCGCATGTACACAGTTCACACACATATCTGTTAGTACATGTATGCATGTGTGTATAAAAAAAAAAAAAAAAAAAAAAAAAAAAAAAAAATCTAATCAATTGAAACAATTATATACCAACCTTTGGTAAGTATGGAACACAACCAAGACCCATCGACTAACCTCGCAATGAAAAAAGGACAACGTTAGATGTCAAGAAAAACTACATGAATCAATAATAATAGTAAATAACACCTTTATAAGAAGAGTATATCAAATAAACAGAAATTAAATTTCTTTATGCTAAATACCTTGAATATAAACATAAGGGATCCGACCACCTTTAGGTGGTAAGTAGCAAGTGAAGGGTCCCTAAGTATACGCATGAGAGAATTGATTGCAACCTGTAGTCATAACATATGCAACAAGCAAATATGACAAAAGTCATTTATCATATTCATATTCATGTACATAATATGTGCGTAGATTTTCAATTGTAGGCATGGCAAAAGTCGTAGATCAGCATAGCCCATTGATTGTGAAGTCAATGCAAACGCAGTCAGCAGCAATGAGGAGCATCGTGCATTTTTATATATATTTATAGACATAATATAATTCAACAACAAAGGTCATTCAGCAGGTTGATGTGCTACCGTGGAATAATAATCTTCAGATGTTGCAAATGATGGCCACAAGTCCATAGGCAATTCATCCACAGATTGAATGTGTTGACCAGATTCACTGGCATTACGTGTAACATCTCCATGTGGCCCAGGCAAGCATTGCTGATTTCGTTTATGCGCATGAGGGTCTAAAGCACCCATAATTCCAAGAACCTGGAGAAGCCCAAGAGCAGTTTTTAAATAAAAAGTTGGTTACGACTAATAACCATGCAATCTGGTTAATAGGTATACCTTTAGTACTTCGCGTCTTGTAGACCATGCTAATTCACCATTCAGCAACTTCAAGAGTAAGCCAAGTAACAGTGGATACTCATTGTATGGAGTTATTACATACCTGTCAAAATCAAAGAATAAATTTTCCTGACACTTTACAACATGGAATACAGATACATGAATAAGTGGAAAGGCTATACTCTAATGAAAGTGGTTAGCCATGCATAAAGCAATTTCAGGAACTAGAGTCTCAACGCTTGCTCTATTTTAGTCTACCTGTCAAACTTCTCAAACCAGAGTCTTCCCAGCTCACTAGCACATGCAAGACCTAATAGAATAATTAAATATTGTTGGCTCAGACCTCAAGGGCAAGACCGAGGCATGAAGGGAAGTACTACAATATTTAACTATTATTGGCTGGCTTCTAACAGCTTAATATTTGAGATTAGCAGTTACTTGGCACAAAAGCTTTGGTAGCCATGAGATCTTTTGTTTAGATCCCTGCCATAGAAACCTCCCAACTTAAGAACGGAGGAGGCAAGGTTTGCAATAACATTGTATACTAACTCGAATACCACATATTGGCCCCTTTAGTGGTAGGATGAGGCCCACATATTGGCCCCTTCTTAACAGTTCTTCTCTCTCTCTCTCTCTCTCTCTCTCTCGGTCTTCAGAAGGTTTTATATATAAAACTTGAACAATATTAGAAATAAGAAGAACGAGACGTCCATCATCCAATTTCTATTAGTTGTGGCTTCATGGGTTAATAATAACTCAACATTCTGATCAACATTTTGATCAGTTATACCTACCCTATATTAATTTCTCTTTTACTTTATTAACAAGAAAAATGCAAAAAAGAACCCAGGTTTAACATGAATGACAAATTTGACAATGATGTGCTCATCAAATAAGTTTACCAAGCATAAGCATCTTGAAGTTGTTTCTAACTCACAATAAAAACTGAAAGAAAGAAAAAAATTAAAAGAACCTACACACAGTACATACCCAGTGCTCTGTACAACTTGACCAAGAGTGGCGACTGCCACTTCCCGTTTGTGACAGCTGCTCCATCCAATAAAGCATCAACAATCAAAGGCATAAGCTCCGGAATGTATCTTCGCATTGCAAAACCACCCTAGATTTTTAAAAAAACAAACAAACAAAAAATAATACAAAATTTAGATTAGTACAGCACCAAAAGATTTTACAACATAATGGGAGTACAACCGTACATAAGCGACAAAAGCATATATCAGCAACTTTTGGAGACCTTAAAGAATAAAATGAGCCCTTAATAGAACGAATGTGACTGCATGAGCGATCTGCCAGTAGAAAAAAAATTTGTGAAGAACTTCCCAGCCCCCAGAAAAATATCGTAGGCAAGAAAGTCTAAATCATATGCAGCAAAGATTTCCAAAGCAGAGATTTCATTTGCCACTAATACTCCAGAGTAACAAGACACACAGACAATATTGGAGAGAGTTAAAGAAAACTAACTGCCTTGTGTCAAGTTTTGAATAACGTTTTGCAATAAAAAACATATGCTGGTTCAGAAGAACTTATTTTGTGGAAATTTACCCCTTTTTTTGGGCACAGATAGACACCTTGTTTGTCTCTTCCATGCTTTATTTCTCATATTTAATAAAGTTTTCAGTGTCTTATCCCACAAAGAATAAAAACCAAAGAGAGAGAAGCTAATACGATCTCATGTCCTTCACAAACTATGCATCAGACACCTCAAATCCACCACCAACAAGAGTTCCTTCGTTCCATATAAATAAATAGCACCACGATGGACTAAAGCCAAATATACCCACCACTCTAGCAAGATCCCCAACAGTTACAAGAACTCCACTAATAATGCCATTATTTGCATTGACACCGGTGCCATCATTAAGTCTTGCTACGAGTGCCTGCAAAATCAGACCTTCACTATGAGATAAGGGGAAAGAACACAAATTTACAGGACTAAGATAAACAAAACAAGCCCTGAATGACCTATTACACCTTGTGTATTGGAGCAATATATGGAAGTATTAGCCGTTCACAATTCCGTATAAACAACCAAGTAACTTCGCACTTTCTTCCCGGCATTTGGTATCTGCACTGCTGACGTAGCAAGAGAAGTCAATATATGACACTTTCCATTCTAGCATTAATTTATGCAACTGTACCTCTTACCAAAAAGAAAAAGAAAAAAGAAAAAAGAAAAAGGAAAAAGAAACTATAAGTAACCATAATTCATAGTCCTTTCACATCACCTCTGCCCCAGGTAAGTCAACAACTGTATGAGATGGCGACGAAGTGCTGGAAGGACATAAGCAGGATTTTTTTCTGACAACCTCCCAGCCACAGAAATTGCAAACTCTCGAACGTCAAAATCCTGTAACAATATCATAGTATTTTTACAACCCCATAAACCTTCAATATTACACAAAGGAACAAATAATTTTCACAAACTGAAATTTGTTACAACAAATATTTAAATCAATTAACAATCTACATTCCAACAAAGACCATACATAAGTTTGCACATTAATATGGTAGATAAAGCAAACAGAAAAAAAAAATATATCTAATATCACCTGCATAAACAGCAAAGCTTACATATCCAATACAGCGCAATAATCACGAACAATTTATCTAGTGTGAAAAACACACCTCATCATTTAAAGCAGCAAAAACTGCGCTCAGACTATCAGCCTGCGCCAAAAAATCATCAAAACCACTATTCCCATGCAGAGAGGAAAAGATTGAATGGCGAACAATAACATCAGCATCAGCAACAGCTTCGATGAGAAGCTTTTCCACAATCTGCAAAAAAGGCCAATTTCCAGCTAACAAGCATATACTAATAAGGTGAAAAAATATTTAAGCCGATTATTGAATGAGATTTTGTGACTTAACATGATAAATTACCTTAAAGATATTTGACAAATTATAACTTGTAAAAAGAGCTATCTAAGAGTTTAAAACCTAATGCATATCTTCAATACAATTTTCTATCTGAAATATAGTTATTTTACATTTATTTGGAAAAAGGTACAATCACATACTACTGAGAACAATATGTCCACTAGAACCAAATCTAAAATATATAAAATACAAGGGATTGCATTATAACCAGTTCCTCCAATAAAACAGTTGCCTTCCAATCTGCAAAGACGGAAACAAAGGAAGGTCTCCAAACTCTGATGAATGGGTATGTTTTAAAAGTTGTCATATGACTCGTATCAGCTTATGTGGATTGGAGGTTTATAATCAAAAGGCAGGCCTTTATTGGAAAAATACACAAAGGCCTAAGGTTTTCATGATCTTTCTCATCAATAATTTGAAAATAGAGGAGAAATTAGACAAATATGAGGAAACTGACTGCTGAACATAACAAGAAGCACAAAATTGGTTTTACAGCCTACAAACAACTCAAAAGAATCCACAGTTCGGAATATTTAGCATAATTTATTATGTTCAAAACCATACCTCCTCAACAAGACGTCGTCGCTTTCCTCGATTGGACCTACCCGAAGCATATTGCACACCAGAAAAGGAATTTGCAACTAATCTGCAACAACAGAGGGCAGCATCTTTTCGGACGGCTCCATCATCATCATCCAAATATACAACAACTGATTCTCTTGCAAACTCAAGAAGGTCATGGCCCTAAACCATATATTAACTTATGTGTGAGATTAAAGATGAAACTAGGATTCACAATGGACATTGGTATGCACACAAACCTTGAAATTAAAACGAGCTAGAGTCTGCAAAGCAAGCTGCACGAGGGCTGAACCACCGAGGTCCGAGACTTGCTGAGGCATATTTATTAAATTTCCTCTACCCATGCCAACAGCTGACCTTCCCTGAGGATGATGGGATTTTGAAAGAACCACTGAAATGCAGTCAAGCAACCGATCTTGGATGGTAGGCAGCAAGGATGGAATACTGAAATAACAAAATTGTGCACGTCAGTTCGCTTGGATGACTAATCACCAAATTTGTGCAAGGAGAAGCTCTTGAACAACCCAGTGTACCTGGTAGTTATCTGCTCAAGGGCCTCAACAAGCGTAGGGGAAAGGCCAGCAGAGAACATAACATCCAAAAGACCACGAACATGAGGTTCCATAGCAGGCCCCATTGCTTTTGCAATGTTTCCAACACAAGCCAAAGCCTCAAGCGAGGGTCTACCTCTACGTGGAGCAATCTGTAGAACAAATGATAAAATGACAGTCAGAGATACATCCACCATCACAATTATAACCCATAACCTACAGGCTAAATAAATAACACAACAGAGACAAATAAATAACGTGAGGACAATAAGGTGATAAATAAATAAGTTGAGGACCAAGATCAGTCAAGTTGACATACCGCATCACGTAAGTGAGACGTAATTGTCGGCAAATAGTGGACAAGTTCCCCGTCCAAAGCACCAGCCATCTCCCCAAGGGCAACAAAACCACTGGAGCGCTCAGCTGGTATTCGCAAAACAGCAAGAATATGATTCATACATATCTGCGAGAAATAGCACTACCTTACATATCCCGGGTGATAAACAGAAAAGATAAGTGAAACAGAGTTCAACCTGAACATTCTGCCAGCCAGTTACAATTTCATAATAAAGGACAGTTGACAAACCGTTAAGTAGTTTGTGACAAATCGATCGCGCAGAAAATGAGCAATTCGAGGTAGCAACGAAGTTATGCTCAGGCGAACCAGCCTATCGCGGTGCTCAAGATATCTAAGGACAATTTCTGCAACTTCTCTGTACCTTGACATCATAAATTCACCTGTATTCCTGCCCAGATGAAATGAACCTTTTTTAAACCAAGGGACACATTTGATAGCTGGAGGAGGAGCAGATGATGACTAGGTTAAATAACAAGATAGCACAAAGTAGCATAGCACATGTACATTTTCAGATAGGAACCAGCGCTTCCAGTCTCACTAAATCACATGAATTTTGAATAATTTTACTTGCTCCGACATTGCTACCACGTGTACCCATTTGGGTTTCCCTAGTCTACCATTATCACCATATGTGCTTCACCTAATGGAATACAGTCACTACTACAAGGTCGCATAAAATACATGCAAAAACTTCATTCAAGCAAGCAAGAATCAATCACAAATATTCGCGTAAATGACTGTGATGAGAGAGAATGATACTTATAGTGAATGGCAATCATATTTACACACCCAAAAATATTCTCATCTCTATGAACTCTACCAACCTCAAAAGCTCTCCAACTGCAAGTAAAGAACCATGTATGCTGTGAACAGAAGCATTTTTACCCAACCCATCCTGAGTGGCCTCAAACATACGATAATACCATTGCACACGCCAGCGTGTCTCACGTTTCTCAATAACACCTAGGCAAGCACGCAGAGCTTCCACAGCTCGCTCTCGAATAGGCAACATTGGATCCCTCAAAGCAACCCAAATAGCATCAACAAATTCAGGTACATGAACATTGAACACTGTTGAAGCATTTTCTGCCATTTCCTATAATAACAAAACATAGCGTTACAGACGTATTTCCTGTATTGAAAATTGCTAAGGAAGCAAAGGCAAAAGTTCCATGAGAGGATATTCTTTTTAAATTTTTTAAGAAGAGAAGCTCCATCAGATGATATGGCAAGTTTCCTGATGTGCAAATGGAGTACAAAAGCAATATTGTTGCACTTACTTTCAAGATCAAGACAGCAGCAAAACGTCGATACTCGACTCTATCCCCGCGCAACCACCCGAGAGCAATTTTTATCTAAGAGACCAAGGCTTATCAGATGCTTCACAAACTGCTTCAAATCAGATTATGTTATGTTAAAGGAGTGTAAAAAGAAAAAGGCAACAAACCTGGCGTTCCACTTCATCTGCAGTCATCGCTCCCCCTGCTCTGGCTAGATGGCCCAGAACTCTACTAGCTAGGACCAAAATATCAGGATCACGCTTTACCTCAAACACAGTCCGTATGTAATTAGCAAACTTTGAAACCTTTGAGGAATTCTCTCCAAATGCCACATCTATCAACTCATCAATAGCTCTTAGAGCTCCTAAGTTCTCCGCAACATCACTGCTCTCCAGAAGTGATGAAATCCGATCATACAACTGATCCATGAAACGGGAAAATGCTTCTCCACTGAGGTCACGGGCTTCTTCTTCCAGATGCTTCTTCAAAGCTAATGAAGCCCCCTCCTGCGTAGAACAGAATTATAGAGTTTAAGCAGCTTTAAGTCTTCTTGTATGGCACAAGGATAAATTAAAAAATTTGAAGGTAAACTTCAAAACAATAGGGCTCTCAAGACTACTAGCCTTACTTGAATTAAAGCTAGTGTAGTGATTATCTGAGAAGCTATGGTGAGAAAAAGTTCTCAAATTTACTTAGAATCATAAAATTCACAACTTGCTTTATCCACTAAACCTATTAGTCCACCATTAATTGAAAACCAGAAATTCGCCCTTGCCATTTTGATTTTCCTTCCACTGTCTAGTCAGGAAGTAACAGATTACAGAACCGAGAAAGAGAGAAAAAAATTCCATTTTACCGAGAACCAAACACAAACTACAGAGAACAATTAAAATTCCTCAGATGTGACCGACCTTGGGGTTGCCTCGGGTGCAGAGGTCAGCAAGGACGCGATTGAGCGCGTCGAAACTGCCTCCGCTGGGTCCGGCAGAGGCGGGGCCGCAGAACCTGATGGACTGCCCCGAGACCGCCATCTCGCTGAGGCTCCCCAAACCCTAAACACCCAGCGCCTCTCTCTCTCCGTATCCAATCAGATCTTCAAGGCACCTAAGCTCTCGGGGCCGGACCGGAGACGATGAGAAAAATTACGACAATAAATATAGACGTTGCGCAAATAGTTGCAGAGCAGAATAGAGTAGCGAGCTCTGTAGGATTTTATGCTTTGAATTAACGCAAGCAAAGCAAAAGGCAAAGCCTCGGTTTTTGGCTTTGGCTTTGGCTATTGCGGCTGTGTAATTTTCTTGTTAGTTCTTGGTTTTGGTGCGCTCGATCATGCTCATTCGTTGCCAACTCAACCCTTTTTTTCTTTTTTTTTAATTTCTGCTTACTATAAATGGAAAGGGTAAATCCTATTTCTTATAAGGAAATGTTGATAAATTATAAGGAAATTAGACAGAATGCATTAGGTTAGTTGGCCAATGCATATGTGCATGTCCTCTTACGCTTGAGTTCCAAGCTCGTATATTAAAATAATTTAAAATATCACTTTGTTAAAATAAAATAAAAATTATTTACAATTTTCCTCGTTAGAAAACAAAAATTTACGTTCTTTTAGTTTCTCATGAATTTTCATTTGATTAAGACTTTTTTTTTTGGTATTGAAGTGAAACCTCCTTATGAGTTTCCCAAAATGGTAACAACAATTCATATTAATTTACGATCAGCCCGTCTCAACATAAAATAAACATTAATGAGCCACATTTTCAAGGAAAATAATGAATAATGTGATAGATAAAGTGGATAGCCATATCAATTTAAATTATTTAATATTTTCTTTTCTTTTATGATTTATTAACATACACCCCTATATATGTATGTAATTTAGGTACTAATTGTTGCTGTGCTTTATTTCTCAGATATGATGATTTGTGTGTGTCTTGGAACTTTCTCTTCATTGCTGTTTTATTTTTAGGCTTTCTATTTTGAAGGGCTTGAACTTTGATGATCTGTGTCTCTCTTTTTGGCTGTTTATGAGTTGCTTTAAGTTGTGGGTTAAGATAGATTTCCTTTCTTTTTAATTCTTTTCAGTTAGCTTAGCACACAAACTCCATGTTTTGCATATCTCATATGATCTCCATGTTTGTTGAATACTATGATGACAATTGTTATTTTGCAACTTTGCCACCTCTGAGTGTGCTGGAAATTGTTATTTTTACAGCATTGACTTGTATAACTATTAATATGTAGGGTGGTTCACAAGGTTTGGGTCAGAAATTTTTGCATGTTTTTTAGTAATTTTGATCATGTTTTCCCCTTTTTGTATTTTATGTGCAGCTCTTTTGAACTATAAGTTGGGGCAGAGTATTTCTTTGGGAGTTTCACTAAAACACCCAAAATGGAGGTTGAAATTATAAAAAAACCCAACACCCAAAACACTTTATAAACACACCCAAAACCCATCATTACACACACTCAAAACCCATTTATAAACACACCCAAAAAGTTGACTTTGGGGTTGATTTTGGGTGTGTTTCTATGTTTAAATAGTTCTTGGGTTTTTTTATAAATACATGTCTAGGATTGGGTTTATTTATAAATTTGTATATTTCTTTTACTTGATCAAACAAGTCTCTTCCAGGAATTGCAGAAAGAAGAAGAAGGTAATGGCTCTAAGCCTAGGATATTTTGAATGGCATGATATTTGTGTTAGTAATAATTGTTTGAATGATATATGGTTTGCCTGCCACATGTCCAAGGAACTCGAAGTCTACTTCGTCACGGTTAGGTTGATCAGATGTCAGCTGCATTAAAATTAATTTCCATTTGATCAAATATATGCTGTTAATTACTCAATAATAAGCAACAACAACAAAAAGCAGAAGAAGAAAACGTTTTCTACTTACATAATAGGCCACAACTGTGCCTTCTGAATCACCTGGTACTAGTTTAATTTGCATGTCAATTTGTCCAAACAAAAACATCTGATTTGAAGCAAAACCAGCTTCTTGAATTTTGAAGGAAAATGAAAAACAAAGGATCATACTTCAGAAATGTTAAAACTAATTAAAGAATTTTGAATTTTGATCATACCGGATTCTTGGTCGAGCTTCATACTCCTTGTCCTGCCATCAGCTGAAGTGTTTACATTGCTAGGAGACCATGTCACAAAGAAATCCTTGTTGAAGTCCCCTGTTGACACAACGGAACCATCTGTAAATCGAACCGATGTCAAAGTCAGAATAAGCCCAATAAAGATGACAATTCTGTAATTATCACTCATGGTTTAACTCTGGTTTTTTTATTTATTTTTTAATAGTGTGTTATGGAGGCATATGATAGCAACATGTTGAAGAGAGCTGTGTATAGGTATTACATGGGAGGGCGGTGGAAAATTGGAACAGAGAACATTCAACCGAAAAAAGAAGAGAGAAAATGTGTGAAAGAAGGAAAGAAATGTTTGGTTGTTAGCATATTATGAATGTAGTTTTTATGGGTTTTTTATGGTCCCCATTAGGATGTGATTATAACTGTGAACAAATCATAATTTTCTTTTCATTTGGCAGAAATAGTTGACCAAGAAGCTTAGATAACTTGGTGATTAGACTTTCTAATGTTCTGAGGATACTCATTAGGCTTGTTGACGCTCAAAAATGGTTCGGCACTTTTGAGGCCAACTTAGTGATGAGGTGTGATGGATGATGGGTGAAGCTGAGGACCTTCACCAAGCGTGTGAGGATTTGAGCAAGCGATAAATATACAGAAGACAAGATATACGTGGTTCACCCTTAAAGAATGGGCTACGTCCACGGAGAAGTATATTCTCATTATTGTAATATTGTGTATTTACATTTGTACATGGGGTTGGACCCAAATTTAAATGTAAGAAAGGGGAAGGTCATGACTAAAGATCAAGCCCAGCCCAAGGATCATTTTCTAAGGGGAGAGTGGTCTCCTTTTATAGGTGAGGGGGAGCCTTCACTTCTTGTAATATTCCAATGTGGGACTCTTTGCTTCGCCTAGAGTTGCTTCTAGTTGCTTGGTCAAATATGGTATAAACAAGGCTTACTAAATAAGAGCTTATATATCTTTCTGTCATGTTAGCAGAAAGCCGAATGATGGAAGGTTCCGATGGCCGAAGGCTGAATGGCCGAAGGCCGGAGGCCGATTCCGAATCATTGGGGGGATGTGAAGACATCGCACGCTCCGAATGATGGAAGGTGCCGATCGCCGAAGGCTGATGGCCAAAGGCTGAATGGCCGAAGGCTGAATGGCCGAAGGCTGATGGCCAAATGCTGAATGGCCGAAGGCTGATGGCCGAAGGCTGGATGGCCGAAGGCTGAATGGCCGACGGGCCGAATGCTGAATGGTCGAAGGCTGAATGGCCGAAGGCTGATGGCCGAAGACTGATGGCCGAAGACTGATGGCCGAATGTTGAATGGCCGAAGGCTGAATGGCCGAAGGCTGATGGCCGAAGGCTGGATGACCGAAGGCTGAATGGCCGAAGGCTGAAGGCCGATTCTGAATCATTGGGGGGATGTGAAGACATCGCACGTGCCGAATGATAGAAGGTGCCGATGGCCAAAGGCTGAATGGCCGAAGGCTGATAGTCGAAGGCTGAATGGCCGAATGCTGAATGGCCGAAGGCTGGATGGCCGAAGGCTGAATGGCCGAAGGCTGAAGGCCGATTCTGAATCATTGGGGGGGATGTGAAGACATCGCACGTGCCGAATGATAGAAGGTGCCGATGGCCGAAGGTTGAATGGCCGAACGCTGAATGCCTGAAGGCTGATGGCCGATTCCGAATCATTGGGGGGATGTGAAGACATCGCACGTGCCGAATAATAGAAGGTCCCGATGGCCGAAGGCTGAATGGCCGAAGGCTGATGGCCGAAGGCTGGAAGGCCGATTCTGAATCATTGGGGGGATATGAAGACATCGCACGTGCCGAATGATAGAAGGTGCCGATGGCCGAAGGCTGAATGGCCGAAGGCTGATGGACGAAGGCTGAATGGCCGAAGGCTGATGGACGAAGGCTGAATCGCCGAAGGCTGGATGGCCGAAGGCTGATGGCCGATTTCGAATCATTGGGAGGACGTGAAAACATCGCACGCGCCGAATGATGGAAGGTGCCGATGGTCGAAGGCTGAATGGCCGAAGGTTGAATGGTCGAAGGCTGAATGCCGAAGGCTGATGGCCGATTCTGAATCATTGGGGGGATGTGAAGACATCGCACGTGCCGAATGATAGAAGGTGCCGATGGCCGAAGGCTGGATGACCGAAGACTGATGGCCGATTCCGAATCATTGGGGAGGATGTGAAGACATCGCACGCGCCGAATGATGGAAGGTGCCGATGGCCGAAGGCTGAATGGCCGAAGGCTGAATGGTCGAAGGCTGGATGGCCGAAGGCTGAAGGACGATTCCGAATCATTGGGGGGATGTGAAGACATCGCACGCGCCGAATGATGGAAGGTGCCGATGGCCGAAGGCTGAATGGCCGAAGGCTGGATGGCCGAAGCTGAAGGCCGATTCTGAATCATTGGGGGGATGTGAAGACATCGCACGCGCCGAATGATGGAAGGTGCCGATGGCCGAAGGCTGAATGGCCGAAGGCTGAACGCTGAAGGTTGAATGGCCGAAGGCTGGATGGCCGAAGGCTGATGGCCGATTCTGAATCATTGGGGAGATGTGAAGACATCGCACGCGCCGAATGATGGAAGGTGCCGATGGCCGAAGGCTGAATGGCCGAAGGCTGAATGGTCGAAGGCTGGATGGCCGAAGGCTAAAGGACGATTCCGAATCATTGGGGGGATGTGAAGACATCGCACGCGCCGAATGATGGAAGGTGCCGATGGCCGAAGGCTGAATGGCCGAAGGCTGGATGGCCGAAGCTGAAGGCCGATTCTGAATCATTGGGGGGATGTGAAGACATCGCACGCGCCGAATGATGGAAGGTGCCGATGGCCGAAGGCTGAATGGCCGAAGGCTGAACGCCGAAGGTTGAATGGCCGAAGGCTGGATGGCCGAAGGCTGATGGCCGATTCTGAATCATTGGGGAGATGTGAAGACATCGCACGCGCCGAATGATGGAAGGTGCCGATGGCCAAAGGCTGAATGGCCGAAGGCTGAATGGTCGAAGGCTGGATGGCCGAAGGCTGAAGGACGATTCCGAATCATTGGGGGGATGTGAAGACATCGCACGCGCCGAATGATGAAAGGTGCCGATGGCCGAAGGCTGGATGGTCGATGGCTGAAGGCCGATTCTGAATCATTGGGGGGATGTGAAGACATCGCACGCGCCGAATGATGGAAGGTGCCGATGGCCGAAGGCTGAACGCCGAAGGTTGAATGGCCGAAGGCTGGATGGCCGAAGGCTGATGGCCGATTCCGAATCATTTGGGGGATGTGAAGACATCGCACGCGCCGAATGATGGAAGGTGCCGATGGCCGAAGGTTGAATGGCCGAAGGCTGAACGCCGAAGGATGAATGGCCGAAGGCTGAATGGCCAAAGGCTGAATGCCGAAGGCTGATGGCCGATTCCGAATCATTGGGGGGATGTGAAGACATCGCACGCGCCGAATGATTGAAGGTGCCGAAGGCTGGATGGCCGAAGGCTGATGGCCGAAGGCTGAAGGCCGATTCCCAATCATTGAGGGGATGTGAAGACATTGCACGCGGCGAATGATGGAAGGTGCCGATGGCCGAAGGCTGGATGGCCGAAGGCTGGATGGCCGAAGGCTGAAGGCCGATTCCGAATCATTGGGGGGGATGTGAAGACATCGCACGCGCCGAATGATGGAAGGTGCCGATGGCCGATGGCTTAATGGCTGAAGGCTGAACGCCGAAGGATGAATGGCCGAAGAGCTTCCGGAGATGAAGTTATCCTCAAGTCTCTTGCCCTCTCTTTCCTTACTCAGATAATATTCAATTCTTGGGTTAGGTCTATAATGAAGGAACTGAGGCCTCGAAGAAAGATAATTGGTTTTAGGATCGTAAGGATGAGCAGCGGGATCATCATCAAGGGGTGCTATGACCGGACTGGACTTCGGACAACAAGGTGGAGGACTAATCTTGAAACTCGGAGTTGTGAAAACCAGATGAGGGGCAAGGCCTACCTTCGTGTGCTCTGGATCCTCCACCGATGAAACCTTGGAACAGTTCTGGTCCTTGCCATTTTCTTTGTCCTCGAAATCGCGAAAGGTAACCACGGTTGCCCTTCCCATCGAGCTTCGTCGGAGGTTCTCTGTAATTAACAACAATAAAGCAAGAAAAAATCAGAAACAGAAACCAAAAGAAGTACAACATATATGAATTTTCTGTGCCTTTCTCTCATTTTCTCAGCCATTTTCTTGGCAACCAAACAGAGAAAATCATCACGAAAAAAATTCGACTAAAATGGGTCGTACCAGAAGGACTATTGCCGGAGTATTCTCCTCGGATTTGCGTTTCGGATCTTGATCTGGTTTCTTGCGCATTTTACTTAGGAATAGACTAATTGTAAGAACTGAAGAAGAAAAAAAACAAAAGAAAAAAAGGGAAATTTTAGACTCTAGAAGAGTGAAATGATGAGTGGGCTAAAAACCAAGAAAATAAGGAAAAGAAGGATTAAAACTTTGAAAACAGTCAGTTTGGGGTTATAAAATTTTCTTGGAATTGGAGCTTGAAGATTCTGAACGTGTCTCCTTTCAGAACCTCTACGGTAGCGATGCTCATTGACATAATGCGAGCGTATATGACCTCTCCCACTACATTTAATGATAACGTTAAACATTTTGGGTGGAGAAGCAGAGAGAAAGAATTGGCAGTGTAAAACAGAGGCGGCGTGGGTCAGACAGTGGGCACAGAGAGAGCTCAGAGAAAGAGGGCCTGGGTCAGAGAAAGAGCAAGAAACAGAGAGGGTGCAAGAAACACAGAGAGAGAGAGAGAGGCGGGAATGAGATGAGAGGGAGGTATTATCTAATATATTGAATTATCTATTAGTAGGGCTTGTCAATGGGCCGGGCCGGGCCGAGCCGGGCTTTAAAGAGGAGAGAGAAAATATCGGGCCGGGCCGGGCCAGGTTTTTTTAGAAAATTCAAAGCCCAAGCCCGACCCATAGGTCGGGCTTGAGAAAGCCCATTGGGCCGGGCTGGGCTAAGCCCAACGGGCCGGGCCGAAACGGGCCTACTTCATTTGAAAAAAATCATAAATTTAATCATAAGGACATTTTAGTCTAAATTTGAGATTAAACTCACTTAATTCCAATATTTTTACATCAAACCAAATTTATAAAATACCCAATAAAGTCACACAACTTAATAAGATTTTCCACAAAAATGATAAAACAAAGTATTATTTTTGAGGTTATTACATAATTAGACCGTAATACGTTTTAATAAATAATTTTAAAAAATAATAAGTATCAAAAAGATATTTTTTTTAAAGGATGGTATAAATAAATATGTAAATGTTTGGTGATGTGTTCAAGAAAAACATGATTATATTTGGTGGTAGTAGTACGATTATGTTTCGTGATATGATATATTGTTCATCTTATTTATATATATATATATATATATAATTGTTGTATTAATAATTGACACAAATTAATGTGCTAATCATCCAATTATAAATTATGAATGAGTAAAGAAAAGTAAATGAAATGAAACAAATTATATATGTGATTTAAGTGATATAATCCTAATCCTAAACTCTTATTTATACATAATTATATATGTATGCGGGCCTAACGGGGTGGGTGGGCTTTCTTGGGCTTAATCGGGCCGGGCCTATGGGCCGGGCCTATGGGCCGGGCCTATGGGCCGGGCCGGGCTTCAGACACCCAAGCCCAAGCCTAGCCCGGCCCAAGGCGGGCCGGGCCATCCCAAAGCCCATAACGGGTCGGGCCGGGCTTTTTTTCCAATGGGCCGGGCGGGCCCCCATCGGCCCATGAGCCCGCGGGCCAAATGATGAGGCCTATCTATTAGTCAAAACCTCACACCTTAATGGAAATAACTAAATTAATTAAATAAAAGTTACTAAATAAAACTAATTAATAATCAAAACTAGTTAACTAAACAAATTAGAGACAGAAAGGGAAGACAGAGCTCAAGTGTCTTTAAGCAAGGGTATTCTGGTTATTCAACCTTTAGATTATTGGGCCCGCATTTTTGAGTTACGGAAAAGGAAAACAGCATGGGCCGATCCAATGGAGCCCAAAAAACTAAAAGACTAGTCTCAGGTTCTTTTGTTATCATTTTCCAACATCCATTTGGCTGCCGTTAGACCCTTTTTAAAAAAAAAATATTTAGGTAAAAATCAATTTAATGATTAGGCATGAGTAAAATTTTATTTCAAATTATATCAAATCCAAAAAAAATGTTATTAAATGACCACATTATTTTTTACTTTTGGGTCTGAAAACAAGGCAATTACTAATTACTACCTATTGGCTCCTAGTAGCTTAATTGGAATTGGATCCGGTCATCCCCCACTGAGGTATAGATAAACACAGACACTCTCTCTCTCTCTCATTCTCTTCCTCACAGACTGTGACAGAAAACTGCTTTGACATCCACAAGCCTTGGCCTTTCACTTTCCCACTCTACACTTTGACTACTACTGCTTTGCTTCTCAGGTACTTTCCCCGTCCCTTCCATCACCTTCCTCCTTGCTCTTTCCCATTTTCTATTTTTTCCAGTAACGCCTTTTATTCATTTCTGGATTAGTATAAATTTCCTATCTTTGGTGCCTATGACTGTTGCAGAACTCTTCGGTGCTCACAATTTACTATTTTTGAAGATGGGTTTTGCTTGTGGATCAATAAAGATGTGAAGGGCATTTAAGTAACAATGGCTTGATAAAAAAGATATGAAGAAAACGATTCTCTCTGTCTCTCTCTCATCATTATAGGACCACGCCCCTTTTTCCTATAAATGTATACTGTTTTATATATTTAAGGACGGGACCACTTCACAATAAAGGAATAGGTAAAAAGACAAACTTTCTTTGGGCGGTTGGTTAGGGAGAGCACTTTTACAAAGGTTTTTTTCCCCCCCACGCAGAAAAGCGTCCAAGTGGAAATTCTCATGCAGATTTGCCGTTTTTGGGTCTTTGGGACCATTTTCCTTTTGATCTTTCCTTCCATTTATGGAAAATTATTGTGTTTTATGTATCGCTACCTCATCCTCGTTATGCCACAGCTGCTGTGAACTTGAGGGTGGCAGCGAAGCCTAACTATAACTACACCTCAAACTCTTGCGTTGGAGGGCAGCAGTGCCTGCATTATACTCAAGTGGTTTTGAAAAACTCTATTAGGCTGGGGTGTGCTAGGTGTCATGGGTCGCACATAAACAAGTGCTACCGTGACTCCGTTGGGACATCTATGCGCTTAAGAGGTAGTCTAAGCGTGGAAGGGCGAGAGCTTAAGAGCTAGAATGGTTGGTGTTGGCCGAGTTGCACTTGTGAAGGGTATTTTGGGTATTTTCGAAGGTTACGGGAGGAACCTGAAGGAACCAAGAATACCGAAATGTTCGTGATGTCGAGACACAGGATACGCAACTGACGGTTCGCCATTCGGAGTTCGTATGAGGGAGTTATGCCCAATTATGACTCCTCGTGCACAGGTGATGTTCCCTCCTGGCAGAAGGCTAAATGCATAAAATGTTATATAGGGGGTGACATGGTGTCATGCTCTCCCCCACCCCTGGTGCTTACACCCTTGTGGCACTAAACGAGCATCCTTATGACATTGGAGGTAGTCATAAAGGTGGGCATAAGATTGTTGAAGGATAATCTGTGTCTCCGAGGGAAAGGAATTCCCAAGGACAGTACGAACACGTGGGGCCGTTCGTATTGCGCATCGTTGTAAAGAGTGAGGTCAACGTATGGCATTCGTTATGCCATCGGCTAGCAAGGCATTTGACAATACTCGATGGACTTGGCTTGGGTTCGGCCTTGTCCAAGATGGAAGGAAGATATTCGGATGCCGGTACGCATGGGTTGCGACCCCATGCAATGCATAGATGGTTATGTGGGACATTCGGAATACATATGTCGCCAAGGCTTGGGCGACATGCAAGTATGACAACTTGCGTGTATAGCTTGAGGATGTGGGCTATCATGGACGCTAAAGGAATGACCAACAGAAGTGTGGGTAAACCGATGGTGTGTTGGATCGCTATGTCTTGATTTGGACATGAGCGAGCCATGAGTTAAGCATGCGACGTGGTCGATGCAGTTGACGTGTCTTATGCAACGCTTGATGTATGGGCGTCGAGGGTTCGTTGCCGGATGCAGAGTGATTGTATTGTCACATGGTAGTGTGACTCGTTGTCTAGGGGAAGACGACGGTTGAAGGGGAACCTCTCGCAGAGTTGTGAGAGTCATGAATATCATGCAGTGGGAGAAGGCTTACTGGGATTCGATGGGATCCTAGGCCGCACGGGTGTGCTTTGAGTGGCGAAATTTGTGTTTTGCTTCCGCCGCGCCGTGCCGCTCGCTCATCCCGTGACAAGTGGTATCAGAGCGAAATCTCTAATGATTCGAAGAGGATGTTAAAGAGCTGATTAATTCAGATGGTGGCTTCTGCTCAAATGATTCGCACCTTTGATATAAACAGTGAAGCTCTGATCCCAGGACAAGTAGGATTAGAGTTGATCGATTCAGATGGTGGTTTCTGCGTGAGGGATTTGTACCTAGAAGAGATTGGTGATGGAGAAACTTTGATAGCAAGGTAGCAAGTCATTGCCTGTGATGGGTAGTGGACTTGCGAAGTTGGATGAAGAACCCAACGTCACTGTGTTGGAATCAGGTTGTGTGACGGTTGATGGAAACCCGTCTTGGTGTTGGATCTTATGGAAGGGTGAAGGTATCCAAAAAGATTGCCTCGAAGTTCTTAGAAGACATCAAGCAGGATGACTCTAAGATGTGGGATGATGGTTGGTTTTGTTGCTCGGTTGCCTAGTTTTCTAATCCGTGCACCAAGCGCCCGGAAGTCGGGTAGGCAGGGGTTCTGACTCGTGACGAAGTGATGTTGCTTGTTCAGTTAGGATGTGGGGAGGATGGGAGCTCGAGTTTGGTGAGAGTGTTGGAAATTGGCTGGCACTCGAACCATGACATACCATTGAAGGTTGTGGTAAACTATGTTGGCAACAAGTGTTGAGCAGACAGTGCAAGACCCTTGTTCGGAGAAGATTTGTAAGGGTGGAAGACCGAAAGGGGGCTGTCTTTGAAGGAAGTAAGTTGCCGACGAACTAGGCTCCATTGAGGGAGTAAGTTGCTGAAGGACTAGGCTTTAAAGAAGAAGTCGCTCAAGTGGTTGCTCTTGCAACTGTGGAGAACGTGGGGGTGATGCATAATGTTTGACACAAGGTTGCGAGCTAATATTCGGAATGCTGGAGTGTTCCAAAGGTGGATCCCATAGTCTTCCTTGTGAGGATGGTGGCTAAGGACACAGTACGTCCGCACTTTGTGGGAGGCCGAAGATGGAGCAACTTGAGGGAGGATGTCTTACTTATTCCCTTAGGGATGCTATGGAAGTATGTTCTACCAAGTTCAAGTTTGGGCGTTGTTAGGTGGTTCTACTCGTAGTAGGGATGACATTGAACCTTGGGGAGTTGCAAAGGCCTAAAGTGTTGTAGAGCTTTGCTTCGAAGGCACGTTGATGTGAGGGTGCGTCGACGAGATAAGTGGGGGAGACCCACGAAGTTCATTGGAGACAATGGCAGCGAAGCTTGGTGAGAGTGCCGAAGATTGGCAATACTCAAACCATCGCATGCCATAAACGGTTGTGTTGAAGTCAGTTGGTGATGAGTGTTGAATGGATGGTGCAAGACCTTTGTTCGGGGAAAGGTTGTGGGAACTCAAGACCGGAATGGTGCAGTCTTCGAAGGGAGTAAGTCGCTGACGGGCTAGGCTCCATTGAAGGAGTGAGTCGCTGACGGGCTAGGCTTTAATGAAGGAGTCACTTAAGTGGTTGCTCTTACAATTGTTGAGAACGGGTGGTGAGGCACAATGTTTGACACAAGGTTGCTAACTGATTTTCGGAACGAGGGAGTGTTCCAAAGAGGTAGATCCCGAAGTCTCACTTGTGAGCATGGTTTCTAAGGACATGGGGTATGTCCACACTTGATGGCAGACAATGTTGGAGTAACTTGGGTGTTGACAGCTTACTTGTTCCCGTGGGGATGCTATAGAAGTGGTTCTGCCGAGTCCGTTTGGGGCGTTGGTAGTCAGGTGGTTCTACTCGTAGTAGGGGCGATGTCTAACCTTGGTGAATTGTGATGGCCTAAGTGTTGTGGAATTTTGCTGTGGAGGCACCTTGAGGTGAAGGTGTGCCAATAAGATCAGTAGGGGAGAACCTCGAATGACAGGACCCGCCCCGGAAGTTCTCCCCAAACCGGGGCGGACCCCGTATTGTTGCCGACATCTCACCGATGCCGGGCCCACTTTACTAAAAACCCAAGACATCCTACCAAAATTTTGGCAGAGTCTCCCCTGTAAGATGCTCAAACCCAACAACATTCAACCTGCATAATTTACATAATATAAATCCCAACTGCCAGCATGCTTTCAACATACAACAATTCAAAGTAAAGTGGCCTCCGGCCTCAAGTAACAACCTAACATGGGCGATAACAGAGCATCTAACAGAATTTGTTTACAACAACAGCAGAGTAGAAGGAATTTACACGAACCCTATCTACAGATGAAATGTTTGGAGCTCGCAACTTGCTTGAGCGCTTCCAAAAGCCACTACTGCCTGGGGGGCGCAAAACGGAAATATGTGAGTGGACAAAAATAAAGTTTGCATTTAAAACAACATAGTAACCCCACCGTGTAAAAATAATGCTCAAGCATGCAGTTTCCACATCCATAAATCAAATACTCAAACATAAAATCTCAAAGTCCAATAACTCTCAAAAATCTCAAACCACAACTCCATTCCCACAAGTATGCAACTCTCACCAACCCATACATATGTATACCTATATAAGTATATATTATATATATATATCTATAATATAACGTATACTTCTCTCCATACTAATGTACCGGGGAAGACAATCCAACCGGGGGATTGTTGGCTGGTACGCAGGATTTTCGAACCAGAACCCGCGTCCAGGGATGAGTAGTCCAACCGGGGGACGGAACTCCATAGCTCACACGCCGGCACTGCCAACGACACGTGTAGCTCACAAATCTCATATCAAGTCCTACGCGCGCAGACAGTATCATCACCCCACCGGCACTGCCAACGACGTGTGTGATGATACTCAAGCAATATACATACCCTTCCCATACGCCGGCACTGCCAACGACACGTATAGAAAGTGTCTCACACACCGGCACTGCCAACGACATGTGTGAGACCCGCAATCTCATGGCCTTCCCACCCCACCGGCACTGCCAACGACGTGTGTGGGAAGCCTAGTAACTAGGGAATGGTACTCACCTACCATACTCATACATCTCACAACCATCCCACAAACTCATACCTTTCCACAATCTCACCACAACAACCTCTCATACTCTATACATAGACAATATAGATAGTCAACCCAAAATCCATATTAACAAATTCATCATACTCAAATACATATATCTATACTCAAAATATATAGCCAAGATGTATAAGAATATTCAAATCCATCAATCAAATGATTATTAAATCAAAATCACCATTTAAAATATATGCACAAATCTTTCATCAATAAAACCATGCATATGTTTAAAACAAAGTCCACTCACAGGTAATCCCACGCTGCCCGGCCCCGAGAGGGTCCTGCCTGCTGCGAACGATCGACCGAAGTACCTATTTCGAGATACGAACTCTTGATTAATATAATACACTTCGAAACGGGAATTCACAAAAGAGAACACTTAAATCCCCAAGATCCCGGTGCGTGTACGTCCAATAGGATATCCTAAGGTCCGGTTACAGGTTTGGGAATCACTTCCCATCCAACGGTTATCGTTAATCCCACAAACTTCGAATTATTGAATCGGAACATCCGGGGCTCCGATTCACGATCCACGAATTCCTATAGGATTCTAAGAGTACCTAAATCAACATACTTCAATTTGGAAACGATCCAACGGTTAGAACTTATCGAACCCGAATAACGCACAATATGCGAAATCCGTTCGATAGTCAAACGACATCCAAATTGAGATTCGTAAAATCCTATGCACTCGTGACAACCTACTGATCTCATCAGGATAAAAAGCAACTTCAACAGCCTTGCCCACGCGCCGCCACACGCGCCGGCAGCGCGTGGGTGTGTAGAGGAATTTCCGGCGACGGAAAATCTCCACACCAACGCTCACCCTTCCTACCCTAGCTTCTTCTCAAGGTCAGGATCACTTTGTTCAACTACCACGAGATCCAATTCGCACGGGAACTGGCCGGAATTTCAAATTGAAAACCGGCCAAAACCTAGGTTTCCAATTCGGTTCCAAAACTCAAAATCGATCCAAACTACCCCACAATCAGCTAGAGCACGTAAAAAGGAGAAGAAACCTCACCTAGTTCACCGGAATTGGACGGCGGAGACGACGGCGCAACGCCGTGAAGAATCCGGTTTGAACCAGTCGAAACTGACGTCGGGATTCGAGGTTTCCGGCGGGGAAATGGGGTGGGTTGTGATCGGGGCTTCGAGACGAGTCGAACGGAACCGGTGCCGGCTCTTCCCGTTGCCGGAACTGAGAGAATCGAAGAGAGAGGGAATCGGTGTCGGGGAGAGAGAAACGGAGGAGAGAGAGTGTACGCGGGAGAGAGAGAGAGAGAAATGTGGGGGTAAAAGTGAAAAATCTGGTTTTTACTCCAAACTTATCAAAATATTTACGGTTCCGCCACCGAACTTATTTTGATCGCCAAATCTTCATTAAATCTCCGATTCAAGCCTACCGCCTGTCTACGGTTTCGTCTCAGTACCACCTACGCAACCAAACCACTCGTGGTCCCAAAATCCTTCCGGATAAGAAAATGACCAAAATTACCCTTAACCCAAGAGTAAATTAATAATTCTCTTAATTTAGTTAAAATAGGAATAAATTTGGAGTCGGGGTGTTACATCGAATGCATGGGAAGTATGGCAGTGCAGAAGCACAAACAAATGGAGGTGCCGTGGAGGACACACGGTTGGCTTTCGAGTCATGCCCGGGCGGGGTGCATCTCTTTAATGTGGAAAATGTGGAAGTACTTGACCAACGAGCTAGGTGTTTGTTCAATGGTTGAGTGCGGCAAGAGACAGAGGTCTCGGCCTAAAAGAGGGAAAGGAATACAACTTTGAAAGAGAAGTTGAGAAGGGTTAAGGTAGTGGTGCTTTGTGGTCCTTGGAGCGAAGAGAAAAGGATATTCCTATATGGTGTTGTTATGCAACAATGTAGTGGGCATGTCGACGAGGACGTCGCCATTATCAGTGGGGGAGAATGTCACGAATCGCACATAAGTGAGTGCTATCGTGATTCCAAAGTCGACAGTGCAGTGGGGCATGTCAACGAGGACGTCGACACTATCAGTGGGGGAGAATGTCACGGGTCGCACATAGACAAGTGCTACCGTGACTCCGTTGGGACATCTATGCGCTTAAGAGGTAGTCTAAGCGTGGAAGGGCGAGAGCTTAAGAGCTAGAATGGTTGGTGTTGGCCGAGTTGCACTTGTGAAGGGTATTTTGGGTATTTCCGAAGGTTACGGGAGGAACCTGAAGGAACCAAGAATACCGAAATGTTCGTGATGTCGAGACGTAGGATACGCAACTGACGGTTCGCCATTCGGAGTTCGTATGAGGGAGTTATGCCCAATTATGACTCATCGTGCACATGTGATGTTCCCTCCTGGCAGAAGGCTAAATGCATAAAATGCTATATAAGGGGTGACATGGTGTCATGCTCTCCACCACCCCTGGTGCTTACACCCTTGTGGCACTAAGCGAGCATCCTTATGACATTGGAGGTAGTCAT